TCGGTCTCAAACTCGTCCCAAGGAGTGCGGATAGTCAGGCCCGAAGAGCGCCACCAGGACTTGGCATCGTCGATCAGATTAAGTGCCGTGTACTGAACCCACTCGGCCAGACCAAGCTTGACAACGGTGAAGTACTCTTTTTGGTTGTCGATAAAGTTAATGCATGCATCTGCATCAATCGCACCGGAGTAGGGGGTAGGGCGCTGGGGTTTGAGGACTTGGGCCAGAGTACGGGCAAGGTCACGGCGGTCAGCCTCCAGCTCGCGCTCGGTGGGCTCGGCCGGAGCAGGGGCGGGAGTGGGTACAGACGCAGAGATCGGTATAGCGTCGAAAAAGTTGCGTATGGCAATCTGGCGGTCGGTGGGAATGCCGTCAAGAAGGGAATCGAGTTGGTCAGACATAATGATAGTGTGAGTGAAAGAGACGGTGGAAAAAAATCAAACTTTAAAAAAAAAAAAAAAAAAAAAAAAAAAAAAAAAAAAGGATGAATCAAGAAAAGAAAAGAGAGGAAAAGCAGGGCAGAGGGGGGATTGATGTTATCTTTGCTACCATGTAATAGCAACAAAACGAAGGAAGGAACAAGTGCAGGAACAAGAGGACACGAGGTAGGAACACGAGAGGCAGGGGACAAGAGACAAGGGCTAGAACGGATGATCTTTATTATACAGAGAGATAGAGGTATTTATACTAATATACAGGGGGCGCAGTGGTGGAGGCGCGGTGATGGGGGCGTGGTTGAGGGCTAAGCAGAAGGTTAGCCTAGGATACTATCACAATTCTGGATCACAAAATATTTGGTAGGACACCTAAATGGCTCGTTCAATGGAAAGGATACCCACTGGAAGAGGCAACCTGGGAGCCAAAGGCGTCATTGGTCAATGCTAAGGAGGCCCTAGCAGAGTTCGAGGCCAAGCGTGAAAAGGAGTAACGTTTTTTTTTAAGATGGGGAGGTGCAACAGGTACAACTGTTTATTCGAGAATGATGTCATGGTCATAACCATGCTGCGCCTAGTTTCTAGAGCATTCCAACACAACTGTGTCTAGTATATAAGAGCCCTTCAAACGTAGGATTAGACAGTAATCAATCATCGAATAAACCTCTGATTCCACCCTAGAACCCCTCCGACTCCTGACTATTTGCACTGGTCTACGATATGTAACTGGTTTTATTCTAGTCAATTTGTTAACGTTGAAGCACTTTATTCATTTGAAATAGCACCATCAACATATTAACACAAATAACCTTGTGGAGCGATGGCATCGAAACCTCAAGCGAAACTTTCTGGCGGGAAAGCGCAACCTGCGAGCCGACGAACTCATCTACATCCTGCTAGGTGTGGTGGAAAGCCAGTACCGCACCACATACTTCAAGATCACAAGCGGCCTTCAACCCCGTCGCCTAACATTCCACGAGGAGGCACGGCGTAAAAAGGCCATCCAAGTTGATTCGGCTCGGGCGAGAACATTGATCAACATTACTAAGTCTGTGGAAGGCTTGATCTCTGTGTTGTCGTTTCAGACCCCGCCTGAGGCGCAATATGCTATCGATATATTGTCGGACAAACGGCTCCGCTCCTGTTCTTGCCCTGACAACGAAAAACACGGTCTACCGTGTAAGCACATGTTCTTGGTATCGAGGATCTATCCAGGGTTCCAAGTGTGCTTTGACAACAATGCAACTGAGCTTAACGGGACAGTCAATTGACGAGAATGAGGAAACCGTCCTGGAAGAGGATTATGGCCCTCCATTAGAGGAGTTTCTCTCTCCGAATCTACTTCAACAACTACAAGCAGCACGAGAGGAGGAGGAGCAGCGACTCCAAGCCGTGCGACAACAGGAGATGCAGGAAAAAAGAAGACGGCAGGAGGAGGAAAGGGCTCAAGTGATGTGGGAGTGTGAGGAGACAATTCGCCAGGCTTGGATGGAGCTTGGTCGAGTGGTTCACAATGGCAAGACCAGGAAGTGCACGGAGACTTACTTTGTTTCTGCGGCGGCACTCCTTCAGAAAGCAGTACGCGAGATAAAAGGAATAGATGAAGTTAATGCTGCCAGTAAATTCTCTTAGTGCACATTCATTATTTCCGCACGCGAGAAAACAATAAAACCCAACGCTATTTCGAGCCAATCAGCGAGTTAGTGCGGAAAAGTTCAGACTACCCATGATCTCCAGTGACGTCATTTAGGCGGGCGAGCGATTTTTTATTTTCTTTTAAAGCGTTGAATCTGTTGCTGTGCATCCCACCACCGTTCATCTCGCCTCGTGGTAAGGATCACACCCTGACAATCACTCAAGGACGGCAGCAGGATTCAAAAATGTCAAGACAGCGGCATTTTCTATCGCGGGATTAGGGTACCTTGGATGGAGAAAGGAAGAAAGGAACTAGCAGACTCGTTCGTAGAGGAACCTAGCATCCTCGCGTCCACCAACACAGTATGAAATACACCAGCACAGAGACATGACCAGCATGGAGTGCTTGAAAATGGTACCTTGGTCTATTTCAATCTCTTTATTATGGATGTGGCGTACTTGAAAACACAGAGCGGACTATGTATTACTGATACATAGTCGTGGCCGTCAGTTACTCCAAACCGGGTGATATTCTGTATCGCTCAAGTAACTCCACCAGAGCGACAACCTTACAGCCTTAGGATACATGCTCACGCGTCTCTCTTTCCACACAGATACCAACGCTCGTCATAATGAACCCCGAAAAACTTGCCAAGCTCCAGGCCAACCAAAACCGCTCCAAGGGTGCTCCCCGCCGCGTGATCAAGAAGGCTCACCGCCCTGTTGCCCAGGATGATCGCAAGCTCCAGGGCGCTCTCGAGAAGTTGTCGCTTGTTGCCCAGCCTTATGTCGAGGAGGTCAATATGTTCACACAGGAGGGCACTGTTCTTCACTTCCGTCAGCCCAAAGGTAATAAGAATCACAAATGAATTGGAACGAGGTACGCGACTGATCTCACGTTCATGCTCATTAATCCTTTTTTTTTATTTTTTATGCGTTGGTTAGTCCACGTCTCGGCTGCCTCCAACACCTATGCCATCTATGGCCGTGGTGAGGAGAAGGAACTCACGGAGCTCCTTCCCGGAATCTTGAACCAGCTCGGTCCTGATTCCCTGGCTAGCCTCCGCCGCATTGCCGAGAGCTACCAGCAGAGCGCTGCCGGCCAGGCCGCCATGGCTGCCGCTGGCGTCCAAGCTGGCGACGATGACGACGAAGTGCCCGATCTGGTCGAGAGCTTCGAGGAGGCTTCGATTGAGGAGACCAAGGTTGAGGATGCTGAGGAGAAGAAGGAGGCTTCTGCCTAATCGTTCGAGCGGATCGATGAAATGTATAAGGTCGACTTCAAAAGGAATAAAATGCACAGATATTGCTTGAATACTATACAATACACCACAGCACAGCACAGCACAACAAGGCGATATCGACTGCACAAGGAAGCCTACCTTGTGAATGGTATGATATCGGTATCTGATGTCTCCCTGGTTATCTTGCTATCAACCGAAGTGATATCGCGCGTCGGTGGTCCAAAGGGTACCTTGGGTTCGTGCTGTGGTCGGTCGCATTCCTGTTGATGCCACACATGCACCCACATATATATATTCTCTTTTGCTTCAAGCTTGGTCGTGTTGAAAGAGGAGAGGGTGTTAGAAAGGATGGATGCTGGTATCCACGGCTTGCAATTGTTGTCCTGTTCGGGCACTGAAAGAAACTTTTGATTTCATGTCGTGAACTGCGTGCTTTAATAACCCAGCGGGAGGGTCCTTCGCCAGACATGACATCCAGCTATACTCTCTACGCTATCAACAGTGAAGGAACGGATGTCCTGTAAGGGGTAAAAGGATCCTGTATTGTTCTTTTCGGAAGCGCGTACAGGTACGCGTCAAACAGGTACAAAGAGTATCTTGTTTTTAGAGTTTTTAGCAAACGAAAATGTGATCATCGCTGGACTGCGCACGCGGGGTCAACATTTCTTCCCTCCCCTGTGAACAGCGTTTTGTCCCATTCCCCTTATTCTTCTCTTCGACTCATTCCTACCTCTCCTATACCACCTCACCTCGCCTCACCTCGCCTCACCTCACTTAACTCACATACAGTAGTACCCCTTCGCCACGTACATAGAAACACACTAGGCCCATTCCTATGCATCGACTCTCACGCCGGCCGTGGCTGTTGCTGCTGGTTGTCACGGCATCCTGTCTCCTGGTCAGCACCTGGACCACGTCAGCCCATGCCAGCAGCATCCACAAGGAGGGCTATTGTGTCATGCGCGACAACTGTGGTAGCAAAAAGATCTTTGGAAAGCAGTTGCCCTGTCCCGACAACGGCCCCGCTGTGGAGGTAAAGAAACGGACTTTGCTTTCTTTTTTTGTTCACACTCTCCATGCTTGTGCTGACCGTGCGAGCCTTGAACAGAGAGGCTAGATACATTAAGGAATCAGCTAACCGGTACGCCACCTTATTCTCTTCTATGAATTGCCTATGCGAACAACGCGCGGTGCCGATATAATAGCCGGATAAAGAATTACGGGAGCTGCTCGTGTCAACATGTGGACCCACCTACGAGCATTCCAAGGCCTGTTGCAGTCAGGACCAGCTCGAAAACCTCATAGCTTCCACAAAGCAGGCATCGCCCATGATCTCCGCCTGCCCCGCCTGTTGGGCCAACTTCCAGAACTTCTTCTGCACCTTTACCTGTTCGCCCAACCAATCCACATTCTTGAACGTCACAGAAACCGGACTATCAGTTGACAAGAAACCTGTCGTCACCAGGCTCGATTTCATCGTCTCGGATCAGTATGGCTCTGGATTTTATGATTCTTGCAAAGACGTCAAGTTTGCCGCGACCAATGGATATGCTATGGATATGATTGGAGGCGGCGCCAAGAATTGGAGAGAGATGGTCGCTTTCATGGGAACAGAACGCGATATTGGCTCGCCCTTTCAGATCGATTTCCCAATCGACGATCCCACAGGAGTCCTGAAGCCGTTCGATGGCATTACTCGGCAGTGTAACGATACGGATGTGCAATACCGATGCGCTTGTGTCGACTGCTTGCCCGTGTGCCCAGTTCTACCACCAACATCGGATGAGAAACCCCCTTGCAGGGTCTTTGGAGTGTCATGCTGGAGCTTTTCCCTGACGTTTATCTACACGGTGACCCTTGCAGCAGCGATTGGCATGTTTGCGATTCGCAAGAAAATTTCAGCTGGAGACCTGATTGGATTCGAGCCCGTAACGCGTCATGATGAGGATGAGGACGAAGACAGCCAGCATCTTTTGGATCCAGATCAATACACAAGCCGATACGTTGTCAGCGCCCTTCTTCAAGAGTGGTTCTATCATCAGGGGCGTCTCTGCGCCAAACATGCCTGGAGGACCATTGCCATCTGCTTCGGCCTCGTCGCCTTCTTTTCTGTTGGATGGTCCCGTTTCGGCGTGGAGACAGACCCCGTCAAGCTGTGGGTCGCGCCGGACTCGATCAGTGCGACTCGAAAGGCGATCTTTGACCAGAACTTCGGACCATTCTACAGGACTGCACAAGTTATTGTCTCGTATAAGGACGGCGCGAGCCCTATCGCGGATGAGCAATCCTTCAGGCGACTTTTCATGATCAACGACCACATCAAGGCTCTCCAGACTGAAAGGGGTGTAATGTTGAACGACATCTGCTTTCACCCTACAGGAGACGAGTGCGTGATTCAATCACCCACAGGATACTGGCAGGATGACATTGACAGGTTCTCGAGTTCGTGGAAGGACGAGTTTGAAGGATGTACCAACAACCCTGCTGATTGTTTACCAGAGTTTCAGCAACCACTCAAGCCAGATATTATTCTGGGTGGTTTCGAAGATGAGGACTATCTTAGTGCCAAGGCATTTATCATCACTTACGTCATTCAGAACTCGGTCGACAATGAGGTTACGGAAAGGGCACATGAGTGGGAGCTCCGTTATTTGGAATTCATGGACGATCTAGTTCACAATCGGATCAAGGACATTCGAACTGAGGATTTACGCATCTCTTACTCGTCCGAGTCCTCGCTGGAGATTGAGCTGAACAAGTCGAGCAATACCGACATCCGCACAGTGGTCTTGTCCTATCTGGCCATGTTCCTGTATGCCTCGCTGGCGTTGGGTCGGTTTCAGCTTTCGTCGCCCAAAAGAATAGTCATCGATTCCAAGTTCACGCTGGGCATGAGTGGCATCTTTATCGTATTGGCTTCAATCTCAACATCTGTGGGCATCTTTTCCTTCCTGGGCTACAAGATTACGTTGATTATCGCCGAGGTCATCCCATTCTTGGTCTTGGCCGTTGGTGTCGATAACATTTTTATTCTCTGTCACGAGTTTGAGCGGCGCAAGATGAATCATCCCGAGGAAACCATCGAGGAGTGTGCAGGACGCACTCTGGGAAGGATGGGTCCCAGTATCCTCCTGAGCGCACTCAGTGAGACAATTGCATTTGCACTTGGGGGAATGGTAACGATGCCTGCGGTTAGCGTCTTTGCCATGTATGCGGCCATGGCGGTTTGGGTGGACTTCTTGCTCCAAGTGACTGCGTTCGTATCATGCATCGCCCTGGATGCTCAAAGGACGGAGGAAGACCGCGTCGATTGTATGCCTTGTCTTCTGATCTCTCCAGCACCGCAAGCAATCGAGACCGAGGGGATATTGCCCGCCTGGGTACGCAAGTACTATGGACCCCTGATTTTGAACAGCTCGGTCAAAAAGATTATCATTGCAATGTTCCTTGGATTGTTGACCGCTGGACTATGTCTTTTGCCCAGCTTGGAGATTGGCCTCGGTAAGCAGGCCTGATTTTTCTTTAACTCTATTCGCTTTGAGATACTCTTAAGCGCGAAATACTCATATCGTCATGTGTCCTTGCTTCGAATAGATCAACGACTGGCCCTACCAAATGACTCGTACATGGTGCAGTTCTTCAACGATCTCGACGGATATTTCCGCGTCGGACCCCCGGTTTATTTTGTTGTTCAGGACGTTGACACCACTACTCGTCACGGTCAGCAGCAGATTTGTGCTCGCTTTTCGACATGCTCCGATTCCTCTATCGCCAATGTACTAGAGCAGGAGCGTAAGCGACCTCAGGTCTCCTATATCGAACAGCCAGCGGCCGTCTGGATCGATGACTTTTTGCACTGGCTTAACCCCGCATTCGAGAGCTGCTGTAGCTTCAGAAAGAGAGACCCGCGCAAACCCTGCGGACCATGGGATGACGAGGACGACTGCAACGTCTGTTATGCAAATAAGGATCCTGGATGGAATATTTCGATGAATGGTCTGCCTGAGGGAGAGGAATTTATGAAGTACCTAGATATCTGGATGAAGGCGAACCCGGACGAATATTGCCCCTTGGCCGGAAAAGCTGCTTATGGAGATGCAATCAAATTGAATGCGGCAGGCAATCGAGTCAAGATGTCGCACTTCAGGACATATCACACTCCGATGAGAAACCAGCATGATTTCATTGCTGGATACAAGAGTGCACACAGGATCGCGGATCAAGTATCAGCAGAAACCGGTGCGACTGTGTTTCCATATTCAGTCTTCTACATCTTTTTCGAGCAGTATGTCGGCATCATCCCATTGACCCTCAGGCTGTTGGTGGTGGCCATGGTATCAGTTGGACTGGTGACAGCAGGTATCTTGGGCAGCGTCAAAGTGGCATGTGTGGTCGTGGGAGTCGTTGGCATGATTATGGTCGATGTGGTGGGCGCCATGGTACTGATGGGCGTCTCTTTAAACGCCATCTCGCTCGTGAACCTCGTCATTTGCGTCGGTATCAGTGTCGAGTTTTGCTCCCATATTGCTCGAGCGACTGTTGAAGCTGAAGGAAGCCCTGACGAGCGCGTCTTTGGGGCCCTTGTCGAAGTCGGCAGCTCTGTACGTACCTCCCCATGCTTCGTTGATCAATCAATTCACTTTCTTTCAGTTCCGATTCTGTGCACTAACAAAATCTGCTTTCAAATTTTGCTAGGTTTTCTCGGGTATCACTCTGACAAAGTTCCTTGGAATCTTTGTGCTGGCGTTCACGCGATCCAAGATCTTTGAAGTGTACTATTTCCGCATGTATCTGGCGATTGTTGTGGTCGGTGCGCTACATGGACTTGTCTTGCTACCCGTGTTGTTGTCATTGGTGCAGACCGAGAGAACATCCAGTTTCAGGCTCGGATCCATGGGCTGGTCGCTGGGTAACGGTGCCCGGTCGTCCAGGAGAAGACTAAGACAAGGAAGATTGTTGCAGGATAACGACAGCAGTGAAGATGAGAATGACGACGTCAGGGAGAGCGTTGCCCACGAGCTGCCGAGATCGCAGAACGGCGCCACGAATGGTGTAGGTCGGCGCTGAGGAGACTGCTATGGCATCACTCACAAAAGTAATAAAGACAATGCTTAGCGCCTAATGCACCACTATTATATTCTTCCAACGCCTGCTTTTGCCAGTATTTCAAGGCTGTGGCCATGTCTATTCATAATGCCCTTCACATACTTTCAAAAAAAAAAAAAAAAAAAAAAGTGCTAGGAGTCACATCCAAGATGTGATGAAGGGTAGGGGATGGTCTTTGGGCTCAGCATCAATGCACTCTCTCCGTGCCCGACTCGACATCCAACGTTGTTCGCGCTTTATCCACGGTTACCATAACGTTCAGTTATACAATCTCTCTGAACTAAACACTCATTCGATATAAAGGACAGATAGCGATGTCTGAGATAAACGCATTAAAGGGACCTTTTATTACAACCTCTCGGATCGAGACACGTTGCTCAATATTTGATGTGCTACCTAATCAATCTGCAGTGGATATCTACACTCTTCAAGTTCGTTTTAATCAGCCTTAAGTTGCTTCTACAGGTACACGGTTCAATAATCATGCGATCTGTTGTTTGTCCTCATTCATCTCTAAAATCAGATCCTTCAAGGCCCTCAGACTGATAGCACCGAGAATCGCCTCCAAGTACGCAGGACTCTTGCTATCAAAGGTCGCCAACCCGCGATTTCGATCTATGGGGCTAACGACAAGGCATGTATCAAGCATGCGATCGTAACAAAGAGCAGGTCGTTGCTGGTGCGACAAATCTCGAACGTTCGGACAGGGTATTTTTGTTGTGACGAAGTAGCAGCACTAGTATGTCGTTTGACTGAAGGCGAATTGGTGTCAAGAGATGGTCTTCCTTGCTTTGTTCTTGTCATCGCTCTCGGGAGGACGGATATTTTGATTGAGAAGTGGCAGCAATTTGTTTAGGCTGTAATAATTGGCCCGGGTGGCGCTGTTCTGTCACGGACATTGCCTAAGAAAGAAAACCAACCCAAGCGATTGTAGGAGATAAGAAATATGAGTCCCGTTGGCTGTGGAGTTCCTTGTTGATGGTGTTGCATATGCGCTCTAATACGCTCGCTGTTGACTGGACATTTGTAGGAAGCCTTTTGGCTGAATTGGCGGATAGAGAGTTCAAAGAAGTCTTGAATAGCTGTCGCTCTGGCGTTGCCGATCGTGTCAAGATGGCTATAAGTCTTTGTTTGTTCAGCATCCGTGGTACTGCTGACGTTGACCAATATAAACTCGATCCTCATCTCCAATAAGCCCATTGCACATATCCCTTCTCACTCGCTCCAATGCTTGTGTATGCTCATCCTCAAAGCCTTCGTCGATTAAAATGTTTCCGAATCTTTCGATGGCTGCCAGAGTACTGTCCAGTTTGAGTCTATGACCTCCTGCTGGAGCTATTGGGAATACTGACCCCATATCCATATAGCCGAATGCAGCAAAGAACGAGGGTGAAGTCAGATCAAAGTATTGAAAGTTGAGATAAGAAACGGCAAGGTCTTGGACGGTGTAGACTGTATTGTAGAAGTCTAGCTCCCTGCATGAAAGAGTGAGCGCGACGAGCCTTGGCGACTGCTCCAACAGGTCCTTGAGTCTGGGAACGTGGGCCTAGAGATTGAAGTAGCTGTCAACATGAACCTTTTACAGCTTCCACTGCACCGTCCTTAAGCCTGCGGCTGCGGCGGATAAAAATGATGGTGAAAACAAGGCTGCATTCGATCCTGCTTTTGCAGCTCATGCCACAGTTATATTGATGAGCGACGATATGGTTCGTTTTATCGTCGTTGAAGCAGGCAACTCGAAGCAGCTAACGGACGGCCTTGCAAAGAAATCCTCTGCTCCTACACAGTCGATCAAGACGAGGCGTCGATGCTGAATCATGGCCTGCATCAGCGGACTACAGTGCTTGACAAGGTTCGTTAGGTCAGAGGTTGACCTATGGCTGTTCCGGCAGTCGACATGCAGCTTCAGTATGTAGATGACCTTAACACTCGCGTCCTTCAGGCTCCCGAGATCGCTGTAGGCTGTGGACCAAGCCGTAGTGAACTCGAGACCTCATAAGAACGATTCGAGGACGGCTTGAGGACACCGCCCGGACAGTTAAGCTGGACAATTAAACTGGTCAAAAGAGCTTCTGCAGGAGGAGACACCTTGCCCTGGCTTCCTGGTGATGCTGGGGTAGGTCGGATAAAGGAGCATTCATTTCCTTTGTGAAGCAGCATTATTAGGATGCAGTTGTTGTGTTCCGCCGGTGATTTGGGATGGATCAAAACTCCTAGATCACAGATACTGGATACTGAGAGAATGCAGAGAGAGTAAACCTACAGCAGGAGTGCCTAGACTGATAGCACAAGTGGTTGAGAATCATTGATAACTCATTTCCCTTGTTGCCTGTTCGCTCGCTTGTCAGCAACAGAAATGCTTTATTTCTCATGCGCCGAATCCAATATGTATTACGCTCTAGAGGAAAACTCGCGCACGCGCCGATACGCCTTGATCCTCTCCACAATCTCCTGCTCCAGGCTAAAATCTATCCGCTTTTGCAGGCCCCAATTCCTTTGTAGATCCACTAAGGTCTCGAATCGATCTAGAGAGGTCATGGACGGGTGAATCTGGGCCTGCTTAACGTTTAGTTCCTGAGTATACATGGCCCGTATCCTTGAGATCCAATCGAGAGCTTCCAGGGGTGAAATTTCGGCAGTGTCGAGGAGCGATGAATCGGATAAAAGCTCGGACATTGGTATTGAGGATTTTGAATCTGTACGCGACGTTATCGAAGGCGAGCTATTGAGAGTATTCAATAGCTTTGAGGTGTCCATACTATGGATCGCAGCCTCCATTTGGCGTTCCAGTGTGGTCATGCCCTGGAGGGCCTTCTTAAAGAGTTGGATGATATCGTAGAGCTGATAGACGATAGACTCGATCTCTGTGGTCTGTTTGTAGACCAACAGCTGAAGCGAAGTCGACGCCAGTAGCGGCTTCTTGTTTCCGGAGTCATGCCTTGAATACGGTTGTCCTGTTAGCTGAGTCTGGTGCTGCTGATGTTGTTGCCACTGCGCAAGCGTCTGCTCTCGTTGGCGGGTGATGTTGATGAGGGATGCGAGCAGGTTGCACGAGTGAGCGTGTTGATTTGCCCATGAGGTACATTCTTGATCCAGCTGCTGCAATGCTGCGATCGTGTCCATGGTCGGTCGGTGATCTTGTTTTTGTCTTCGTTTGACCAAAAGCGCCGCCATCTTTTTAAAGTTATCCATAGTTATCCATGCGCCGACGCCACCATTTTTTGACAGCTACGCAGCAGTGCAACGTGCAATATCTATCCATTCTCTTTGACCCCGATCACCATTACTGGCTCCTCCTCTTTCTTCTCTCCATCTGGTTCCCTCCATCAATTCGCTTTTTTCGCACTCCATCCTCGGACTCTGGATTCTAAGGTTAGAATCTCGAATTTCATTCCTCTTTGATGAGAGCAAAGTTTCGTTTTACCAAGAAAGTATGAGGAAGCTCATGCTCCGTCACTTGGCCTTGACAGCATACCTCTGAATTTTAGTATTTTGACCGCTCTACATCACCCCACCATCGATTTTGTACCGCAGGAAGACGCGTATTAGTCGCCTGCCACCGTCACCATGGGTGTGAAGGGCCTATGGGAACTCTTGCACCCAGTCGCACGTCCTATCAAGCTCGATTCGCTTTCCAACAAGTATCTCGCCATCGATGCTAGCATCTGGCTGCACCAGTTCCTCCGAGGGATGCGTGACAAGGAAGGCCAGGTCGTCGGAAATGCGCACATCATCGGCTTCTTTCGAAGGATCTGCAAGCTCCTGTTCTTCAACATCAAGCCCATCTTTGTCTTTGATGGAGGCACGCCTGCTCTCAAGCGACTGACAATAGTAGGGTTACTCTTTTTCTGCGATAAAGTTGTGTGTAATGCTACTTGACAAGAGAGCGCATTGTTTACTAACAGTGTTCATTTACCCTATTTAGCAAGAGAGACGCAAGCGCAAAAAGCAGGATGCGAATATGGTCAAGCGTACAGCTGAGAAGCTGTTGGCGGCTCAACTCCGTTTACGTGCAATAGAGCAGCGCAAGGCGGCTAGGTAATTTACTCTCCGATGTGACCATCCGCAGCAAAGGCCCTTCAATTCGGAATTTGACTGATAGCCCTACTGTCTGGAATTGATACTAATAACTTGTTCCTCCCCCCCAATAGAAAGAAAAAGACAGAGGAAAAGCAGGATAAACTGAGCGGTGTCATCCACGATTCGGAGGAGAGTCCAAATTATCTGGATGCCATTCAAAGCGATGACACGGTCTTTGCAGAAAAGCAGGCTTTGAGCGCCACTAAATTAAAGGCGGAGGCCGGCTTAGGGAGTCAGGCAAAACGGATCAAGGACAAGTATGTGCTTCCGCCCATGGAGATCGATTTTGACACACTCTCCAAGATCCGCAGCAACGATGAGCGCTTTGGATACCAGGCAGATGATGACGTGAGCGAATTCCTGAATGAGTTCAAGAAGGAGGAAGGCGTCACCAACATCGACTCGGACGTCTTTAAGGCTCTGCCCCCGGAAATGCAGTATGAGATTTTGCATGACATTCGACTGCGCTCCAGAGTCACATCGTATGAGCGCGTGCAGGAAATGGTGCGACTTTCAAACACGCCTATGGATTTCTCAAAGCTGCAGGTCCAAGGAGTCATCCGGCGCAGCAACGTAACCCAGAAGTTGCTCACAGTCAACCAGGCGGTCAGCAAGATGGAAGAGACATCCAGACCTGGCAGGATCGCCTCGCAGCGGAATCGACAGTACATCTTAGTCAAGAACGATGAGGGCGGATGGGTGCTGGGTGGTAAAAAGCCAACAGCCGGACACTCAGCGGACAAGCCTGTGCAACTGGACTCTGATGAAGATGAAGCCTCAGCCAAGGAAGAGTTTAAGGAGGAAGACGAAGAAGGCTGGGTGAGTGGCGATGACGACGATGTCGAGTTGGAGGAGGTCAAGATTTCTCAGCCCGTTATGGATCATGCATTGCACATCGATAACAAGCCAGTCCCGAGAGCAGCCGCCAACCCGATACAGAATACCAAAATCGACGATAGCAGCTCCCTTGTCAATCGTCTAGAAGCGTACATGGACGAGGACGAGCCGATCGAAAAAGTAATGGCCAAGTTTGCCGAGATTGAGGAAACAGCTGCCAAGAAGAGAGCCCTTCAGAGTTCAGCGCGGCCTATAGAAGGAAATATGGCAAGGAAGATTGAAAATGGCGGACTGCGGACTATCGGCGAGCAGGATGTTATTCAAGTCCAGGAGGGAGCTCGACAGCACCTTGCTAAGGGCGGACTAAGGCTCGGGAATGAGGAACAATGGCGTGAGGTTCTCTCTGATGGGGAGGAGCTGGACTCTATGGATACGGTCCACTCAATTAACTCTCTGGATACGCTCCATTCGGATAATACTCTGGATTACGAGGATTTTGACGATATGGTCGAGGATGAACAGACGGGCGAAATCTTGTCGCGCCAGATCTACAATAGCCGACATCACACTCAGGATAATGGACGGGCACTTTCAACAGAAGAGGAATCCCGACTTGACCTTGAAGGCTTTTACGATTATTGGACTGGTTACACACCGGACTCCTTCAAGATCAAGCATCACAACCATGGATGGATGATACGGGACGCTATCTATGAATGGGACGAGAATCGATTGGAAGGCGAGGTTCATTCTGCAACGAGGAAGCTGGAGAAATCAAATGCGAACGACACCCTTGGCCTGGAGGCCCTCGGTTTCTGGAAGTCGTTTCTGGAATCTGTGCTCTGTCGAAGGCTAGTACAGCGCGCTGCGCGCTCGGAAGTCGAAGAGAGCCTGAGAGACCTGGAAGAGTCCAAAGAGAATGTTCTACAGGCGCTCAGGAAGTCAGGGGCGCAGCGAAAGAGCCGACTCTCACAGCTGATCTCTCTGGACGACGATGATGACAACGGAGTCAATGACCAGGACGTTGGAAAGCTCGGTTTATATGGAGCATTGTACAAAAGGGAGGGCTCTAAATCGCTCGATAATTCGCCAGCATTAGCACCAAGCCAAAAATTGCTCACTCCAGCTGGAACAGCCATCATTGAGACGCCAGGGACAACGCTTACTGCTTCATCGACCCAAGTCCTCGAGGAATCAGCCGTACCACGTCGCCCGATCCTCGACTTTCACTCGTCGATTTTGAAGCGCCAAGCGCCAACAGCGACCTCTGAAACGCAGCGCGTGTCGATACTATCTGGATCGGAAAGAGGGCATGTTATCAACTCGAAACCCATATTGCCTCTTGATTCAATACAGGTAGCATTGACCGACGAAGAGATTGATATGACTACAATCATTAATGAATCTACCGACGACTCGGGCCTTGGCTCGTTGATCTCAAGTCCAACTGTAGATGTCAAAGCTAGTCCTATACCCAATGTCGATAGGGATCTGGGATCTACCCTGGGCGACAATGTAGATATGGACCTGGCAAGTGAGGTGGCAGCCTCTGCCGAGAAAACAGAACTACTTACGGAAGATTTGGAGGTCGATACGAGAGATGTGCTTCGTAGAAAGGGTGACAGCGAGGATGAAGAAGAGGAGGACGAGGATGAGGCTCATGAGGCGGACTTCGAGGACGAGGAGCAGGATTTCACCAACCTGTTCCCGGATATGGCCAACCTCCCAGGCGCGATTCTAAATCCTAAGGAACCATTGCTCTCAGCGAAAACGCTTCCGGAACGGCCAGCGCTCACTGCGGAGGAGATTGAAGCACGTGAACAGCAGGATGCGAGGAAGATGTTTGAGGAGTCGAAGCAGCTTGAGAATGAGATTAAAGAGCTACAGGATCAGCGTCGCAAGCATCAGCGCGACGCAGATGACCTGACAGAGAGCATGGTGGTGGAGACTAAAATGCTGCTACGACTCTTTGGCATCCCCTATCTTGTCGCACCAATGGAGGCCGAAGCGCAGTGCGCTGATCTCCAGATAAGAGGCGTTGTTGATGGTATCCTGACGGAGGATAGCGACGTATTCCTATTTGGCGGCGCAAGGATCTTCAAGAACATGTTCAAGGAGGAGAAATACGTTGAGTGTTATTTGATGAGCGATATCGAGCGAGACCTCGGTGTTGGACGTGATCGACTAGTAGCGTTGGCCTATCTCCTGGGGAGCGATTATACGACAGGAATCAAGGGTATCGGTCTGATCACTGCGATGGAGATTATCAGGCTGTTCCCGAAACTGGAGGACTTCGCGCGATGGTGGAGGGGCGAGCAGAGTAAACTGAGTGGAACCGACGACGCCAAAGATAAAGATCAAAGCAAGGGACTGACGACTTCGGAGATGGACTCGATCGATGAAATTGCACTTGAGAAACTGGTAAGTCTTTTTTGTTTATTTTTTTGAGTGATAGCTATAATTTCTTCCTCCGATTACTAATTGTACCATATTCTGCTGCATAGGCCAAGCAATGCAAGAAGATCCATGTGCCGTCCCTGTTCCCAGACCCTCATGTGAGGGATGCCTATATCCGCCCCTTAGTCGATGATGACCCTGCGAAGTTTCAGTGGGGCATTCCTGATTTGGATGGCCTTCGCGATTTCCTCCGCAGATCGCTGGGCTGGGATCGCGGCGAGGTTGACCGAGTGCTCTTGCCGATTATCCGACAGATGTCAAGTCAACAGCAGACGACGCAAACTTCATTGGATAGCTTTTTTGACGCGTCAGCGGGTACAAGCAGTTTCCAGGCGCCGATGCGTAGGAACCTGCATAAGAGTGCGAAATTGCGCAAAATCGTGGATGGACTGACGGGTCATGGTTCTCCGAAAGCCAGCACGGATAGCGACGTTGTATCAGAGCCGAAGAAGGGCGGGAAGAAGACGACCACTAAACGGGCGCCAGTAAAGCGCAAGGCTGCCACTAAGGAGTTTAAGCAACCCGGTGACGGCAACGGATATGACGAGAGAGATACCAATGCAGGTGATAATGGCAACGTATCAGTCGTCAATACGACGGATGATGGCGACGAGGAAGGCTTCGTGGATGAGCTGGAAGAGAAGCGACAGAAGACAAGTCGAGTAACGGCTGCCAAGAAGACGAGAACCCCTCAGACCAAGATCCCAGAGGCTGTTACTGCTGCTAAACAACAACTGCGGTCTAAGAACGTGGAGACCAAGCTGGCGGAACGTAACAGGGTCCGAACTGCTGCTGCTGCTGCTGCTGCTGCTGCTGCCGCTACAAATGCTGGTGCGAATGTAGACGATGGAAGCCAGACGAAGCATCGGAAGCGGTCAAACGATGGCTCAGACAGGAACTCCAGCAGCTGCGATGATGATGACGATGATAATGATGGGGAGTTGAACGACTTTGCGCCTAGTCATTGGGATACATTTGCGGAAAGACAGCGTCAATCACAGATGCAACAGGGACAGGAGCAACAACAGCCGCCCCAGCGGAAACGAGGTGATGCAGCAGACAAGATCTCGGGAGTAGCCTCATCGTTGACTGCACTGGTCTCGGCCTCGAATGCTGCTAGATACGGATCGTCCAGCTTTAGGAATAAGGAGACGGGCGGTGCGAAGAAAGCGGCACCGTCGAGTCCGGCAAAGAAGTCTCGTATGTCAAAGTGAAGCATGGGCGGGGATGGTTAGAGAAGAGAACTTTTAATAAACATGGATTATTCCCTACTGTGATTGTCATTACCGATGAAACGCGTTTTTTTATTTTCCGACAAGTATGCATCCAACTGAGCTGCAAGGGACGGCACATTTAATGAGCCTAGGGGAGGCATGCTGACGAAATTCCCCTGGATGTGCTACAATAAACCTGAAACGTGTGTTGTGATTAAAACTTTAATCTTCTGACTCGCCTCACACATTCTGGACGACAGGGGCAGGGGCAGGGGAGGCGAAGCTGGGAGTGCCATGTGGAAAACAGGCACTCCATTTCCTTCTTATTTCACGTCTATTTCTCTCGCCCCCCTGCTCGCTCCTTTTCTCTCTTCCCTTCCTTACTTCTTCCATTCCTTCCTTCTTTTTCTCCATCCGTATCGTCCATTAATACTCCCTTTCATGCACATTGCACGTTACACATTACTCCGCGCGACCATCCGACCATCCTTCAGCGACTTTGCGCCATCCACGTTTTGGTCATTTAAATACTATCCAGCAACCCCGTCTTCTTCCTCCGCATCAAATCTCCTGCTCCACCACAAAGCCACGCCTCACCACACTTTGTAACAATAGACTGTATATACCACCATGACTCTATCTGTAATGCCTACACACTCATCTGCACATTCTCAGCAGCACTCTCCAACGGGCAGGTCTCTGCCTCCTCTACCTCCGATCCAGACACGAAATCTCTACAACCCCGAGCAGTCTGCCTCCGTATGTTCGCTCTCTTTTCTGTAGCTGTAGTCTCACTCGATGAAGTTGTCTTGACTGACCGGCGCAATTATTTCTTGATCTGACCACCAGGTTCAACCAAGGAGTCCACAAGATACACGCAAACATATGGACCAACAGTTCCGTCAGCGATACCTCGTGAATCACGTCCTTAATGAATATGAGGATAACAAGCCTTTGAAGAAATCAGACGTCGTCGCCAACGCCAATGTATCGTCGCCAACTTCCAAAAAGCCATTCAACAGCAACTTTCTCAAGAAGGCTCGTCAGGCGTCGGATTCGGCCCTCCGGACTCTGAACCGAAAGCCATCCGACAGCAATCTGGACGCATCTCAGAAGAGCGAACTGACCGCATCTCCAGGTGCTTATGAACAAAATTCTACAGCACAACGTAACCCAAATCCACAGCAGATGTCAGTCCGGCCGGTCGCTCCTCCACGTCCACCTCATCCACAACAGTACCTCGATAGCAAGGTACCTGTTGACTGGACAGCCAACCCCCAGGACTTCCTGTCCGAGCTCCGCAACCCAACTGAATGCAGATCCGAACCGATACAACAAAATATGTCATTGCCGGACATGAACGAAGAGTATGGCAACAACAATAACAATAACAACAACAACAACAACCATGGACCTGCAGCCGCAGGGCCTGCCTCTCCGCCAGGAAATCAGGTCCTTCCCGGTCAAGCAACAAACTCTAGTCGCAGCCGCCCAAGGGTACAGCCTCACTGTCTTGCAGGGATGTCAAGCGAACCCGTCCCGACCATCGGCTTAGACGACAGCAGCATTGCAGAACGTCAATGGAAAAAGTCCCAAAGAAACATCAAATGGAATCCGGGTTATCAGCCCCAAGCGCCTCCAAGGGGCAGCTCGCGATTTGCATGCAGTCCTCAACATCCCGTCCAGCCTGCCTTACCAGAGGAGCCGTCATCAAATCTTGCAGGGAATCACATTCCTGCGAAGAGCAAGGAACAATCTTACACAGCCCCGGGAACCCAACATGCGATGGAGGGAGAGGCCACAGAGACTGGGCCACAATGTGCGCAACAGCCTACTTCTACGAAGTTACCAAGGGTGAAGGTACATAGCGGACTCTTCCCCCAGGATGTGCTCAGGAACATGAACCCCGAGGATCTCAAGAAGGCGATTAACGCTAGTGTGATCGCGAGTCGTATCTACAAGGTCATGAACTCTGAGCAGTTGGATAGTCTCAAGAAGGTACACATTACGTTTGAAAAAGGAATGTAGTCCCCCCCTTCCCCCCCCCCCTCTCCTCCTTTCCCATCAAAAAGCGCTGGAAGCAATTTTTTCTAACGATTTAGTTTACTACGGTTCCCTTCCAATAGGAGCAAGACGAGCTGGAGCAGTTTATCGAATCCATGACGGTCTCCCTATTGATCGAAACCCGCGTGCGCGAGGCATCTCTCTCATCCATCCGGATGTATGCAAGTAGTTCCAAGATGGACTCTCTCAAGGCGGCGACCGACCAACTCCAGACGGCGACTCAGAAGATGGATTGCCTTCACCAGACGATCCAGGATTCAATGTATCGGCTGAAGACGATCCAGGGGCTCTTGTTGCAACACGAGACTGCGACCTTGAACGCGGGACTCCGACGCTCGGACAGTGAGAACCGTGAGCTCTCGAGAACTATCCTCAGGCTCAATGCAACTGCTACGTCTAGGGATCAAGAAAAGAAGGAGCTCAGCCAGAGCAGTATTTTGCAAGCAGAGGAGATGACGGAGTTGAGGGACCAGCTGGATGTGGTACGGTCTTGGGCGGACGAGTTTACGTGCTCAGTCCAAAGCCGAAGGTCTGGACGCAGGAAAATGAGTCCCCCTCCAACGAAGAATGCGCTCCAGAATCAACTCCATCAGCTGCAATCCTCTGTTAAAGGTGAATTCAAAGAGATGGATTACCTTCTTCAAGAACAAAGGGCCAAGATCGAGGCCCTCACGGGGGAGAACACGAGCCAGAGCCAGAGCCAGCACCAAAGTCAACACCAGAGTCAACACCAGAGTCAACACCAGAGTCAAAATCAGGTTATCGACTCCAAGAAGGCCGAGACACCTCTATCCCCATCAAGAACAGCAGCTCGGGTCAGCAACGACGGTGGTGCGAATTTGGACCCGGAGCTGAATCGAGCACGACGTGTGCAGCGGGCGGCTCGACGCAGAGGGCATTCAAGAGAAGATTCGGAACTTGGTACGGTCCTTCGTGAGAGCTTGGAGGAATTGAATCGACAGATCCCGAACACCATGGCTAGCCAAGTATTTTCAACAGCTAATTCTGGGACTTTGGTCTCGGTAGATTCGCATGTGTGCTGAACGACTCTTTGATAGTTCTGCCCTCTGCGATGTTAATGAACTTAATGATAATGACTATGAAATAAAACAATAGAAGAGAGCGTAGTATATTGCATATGGTGATCTGAAATTATATTCTCATTTTGTCCACCCATACCCATGCGGAATAGCGCTTCTTTACTGTTTTCGGGCAGCTATGGAAGATACATCCATATAAGCAGTCGACTTGTGCGGGTGCCAGCCAAGAAAGGATCTCTACTTCACTTTGGACGCCACCAATTTGGAACAGTTGCAAAGCATGCACTCGTGTACCTGAATTGTCTCTCATTTTCTCAGCGTCCGCTCCACTATAACCGCTCCTGAAGCCATCGCGTGCTCTCCTCAATCCTTCGTGTCTGCTCTTGCAACCCTCGACGCAACTCCTCGGACTCTTGGTGGAGGGAGGGAGCCGCCGCTTCAGCATGCCGTAAATCTTGCTGTCTACGCGCCTGCTCTTGTCGACGTTGTTTCTGTTGCATCTGGGCCACTTTGAGGAATCGCCGGCAATGCTTAATATCGAACTGATATGGGTATTGCGATTGTCGTGGTGCTGATGGTGGAGATGCTTGCGGTGGTGGTGATGGTTCTACAAAGGGTTGTTGGTGCCGTGGTGGATGCTGCTGTTGCTGTACTTGGCGCCAGGAAGGCAGGGACTGTGATGGGTGTGGGTCTCTGTGTGTTTGAGGTGAGCCTGAAGCCGAGGATGTGGATGGTGGCGTGGGTGATATGGACGTTGATGTTGGCGGCGAGCGGTGGGTGTTCATTACGAGAACAAGAGTTGGGGTAAGAGTGCGAAAGAAAGAAAAAAGAGTGAGAGGGTGAGAGGGAGAAGGAAAGCAAGAAAAAGCACGGCTTGAGTTGTAAGTAGTTTAGCGCTTATTAGGCCCATAACCGCGCTTCATTTCATGTGGATATTGTGGTTATCGTGGCAACTGTTATTTGCATGTCCAGCCCATTGTTTTTGTTCGTCTATTGATAGCTCCAGTTGCAGTTCTCATGGGGAGCATCGTCCGCATGGCCTTCAGCTGGAGCAGATACTTGAATCTTAGATCTATGCAGTCTGCGTCTTAACGCTGGCCATTTATTTGATATTTCTCGTATATCCTGCGTCTAGTCATCCTGGTTGGCGTAGTGGTAGTAGAGTGGAAGACACACACTGATATTGATCAGCGCTGCAGCCGCGATCCCTACAAACATCCATTTCTCGCCGCGCGTGAAGCCACTTGGCCCCAATGGCGCTGTTTCCGGTGCTATTACAGTTGCTTCCGATCCCGTAGTACTTGAAACTCCCTCTTCCTCCTCCTCAGTTTCCTCGGCATGAAGGGCGTCCTCCAGATAATCATCATCGCCGTTGTCATCAATGTCCCGATCCACCAGTCCTTGTTCACTATCAATCTCTTGTGCCGACAAAAGACCTCTATGCTCGTCTTCATGCAGATGGCTGTGATGCTTGTCGAGTTTGCGCATGGCCTTCCGCAAGGACCGCTTCCCAAAGATGGACAGCGTCAGGATGGAGCAGACGATAAAGACGCCGTTCATGGCCAGGATGACAACATTCTTGGTCTCTAGTTCCGGATTGTCGATGCCTGAGAGCCCCTTGAGGAGGGATCCGATCCAGATACCGAGGCAGGAACCTGGGAAGATGCCGACAATAGTTGCCCAGACGAGAGTGTAGAGGGATATGGAGGTGATAGAGAAAAAGTACGTGATCAAGTTGAACGGGATAGGCGTCAGTCGCAGCATCACGACAATTTTCCAGCCTACACAAGAAACAAGAAAAAAAAAAGTTAATTACAGTCATAGTAAGATATTCCTGAATTGTTAGTAGTTAGAAATAATAGAAGGATACGTACCATCATCCTGAATGACTTGGTCCAGTGCATGGAACTTGGGGTGCTTGGACATCATGCCCTTGACCCAGTCATAAAAGATGTACCGGCCAAAGAGAAAGGACCCTATTGCGCCAAAAACATCGCCTAGAAGCACGATCGCCAGCGCAAACGGCATAGGCTTGAACAAGAACCCGGCGCCGATGGTGAATAGCGATCCAGGCAGGAAGAGCCAGCATGCGACCGTATAAAAGGTCACGAACAATATAGCCCCTATGTTCTTATGGTCGTCGATGTATCTAAAAACAGTATAAAGTAGGATGCATGGCTCATTTGTTAGATGGCGGTTGTAATCGCTTCTATTTAAAAATTGCCGCTTTTTGCTACTACTACTGCTGCTGCGGAAGCGGAAGCAGCCTTTTCCTTTTTTCCATTACTTACTTTAAGATATCCTTGATATGATCCTGTACCCTGAAGACTGTGAATGCCAAGATGACCAGAGTCAAGAAGATCAAGAGAAGAGAAGCCCGGAAATACGTATGTTTCGTCCAGGTGCTCGGGTGAAGTCCGTTTTCGATCGCCCATTCTGTCCATGTCAGCTTCAATGGCTCTTCACTGTGCCGCCTTTGTTGCTGCGCTCCTCTGTGAATCGATTTTTGCTGAAGCGTGTGTAGACTGTGGTCACTGATGTTTCGGGCTCGGTGTTGGATTAGTCCTGCCCTGGTTCCGTTGGTGGTGTTGATCAGGGGTGTGTTTTCTGAGCCTTGAGATTCCCTTGTGAGACCATCATTATCATCATGGTCGTCTTCGTAATACGTCCTGACAACGGAGGTGTGTTCTTGATCCGCAGAGGGTGCAGCGCCGCTGTGGTCTTGGCTTCGCCTGGTCATGGCTGCGAGGATGGGGTATAAAACAATAATTTACAAGAGAACAAAAGAGGGAGTGTGGTATTTGTGGGGAAAGTGTGAAGAGAGGGATGATCTCTTTCGATAGGTACCAAGGAGAGGGCTGTTTTCTCTGGCTGGTATTGTCTTTGTGCCACAAAAGGAGGAAGTGCAGATAGGCGCTGGTAGTAGTAAGTAAAAGGAGGAGGAGGAGGAGGAGGAGCAGTTACAGCAGTAGAAAGAAGAAGTGGGGAAGTGATACGAATTCGAAGTAGAAAAAGGTATGCAGAAAAGAACGTGCACAGGTAAACCACTGCTGTGGCAGCAGCGAGTAAAAACGTGTTCTGGGGAGGGGCTAATTGGTGGGGATGGAGACACAAGGATATATGGGGATGGGGGATGATGACCAGCGACCCGTGGTCAACATGCACTCGTCATTTCGGCCCCTATTCTTCCCTGCAGCTGCGCTCTTTCAGCCAAGGAAAAATAGCTGCGGTGATAGTCTACATGCCATGCAAGGACCCATGAGGTCATCGTGAGCCACTTAAAGATTTATTGAGCCCCTGCTGCGTACTTGCAACAACCGGGGCCTCACTCAACTATTCATATACATTGGAAATATTATTACATATCGATACACATTGGCGATGGTGGTGCACCCGATCTATCTTAGAAGGAGGAACTGAAGGGCCCGTCCAAGTGCCTGGATCGTAGATACTGTGCCCCTGACAATATCGTTCGCTCCCCACACAACCGCCTCTACCAGTCCCACCACCCGAAGCACTCCCCAAAGGGCTAGCAGCACCACTAGAGCCTCCCACCCCATGACCGCACACTGCATCCAGAACGGCCTCCGACTCAGGAACGCATCGTGCGCTAGGAACAGTGCTAGACTCATCTCCGTCACCTTGCCAATCCCAAATACATCGTGCACCGCCAGTGTCACTCCCATCCGGGATGAACCCTGCTGATGCTGGCAATGATGACATACTTGATCTAGACACGAGTGGCTATGCTGCTGGTATCCTGTTGTCGCCAATGCCTCATGGTCGCTTGGAGGCGAGGATGAATACATGGACGTAATAGATCGATTGCTGAGGTTGTATGAAGGATGCAGCATGATTTGTCCTGCTCCTGCCCCTACTTCACTGTTGCAGCTCTCTCCTGCAAACATGCCACTCTTCTTCTTCTTCTTTTTCGTATTGTCGACCAATTGTTGCTGATGTTGAATCATTACAACATCTGTGTCTGATTTGCTTGTTTTGGACGCCCATATCCGTCCATGACTTCGACTATCATTCTTAGACGGTGAAGCTCCTTCTCCTAGACCTCCTTCTGCTCCTCCTCCCCCACCCCAACTAGCCCAGGGTCTTAATGACCAGCCCGTACTCCTCTCCTCTGAAGAATAACCCGGCGTTGCAATTGTGTTCTTTGAATGTCTCTTTGTCTTTCTGAACAGGCCACGTTTTGCTTTGGGACTCTTTGTCAGTGGTGCTGTTGCAGGTGCAGGAGTTGTTCCTGAAAGAGAGGGGAAGAGCGCCCTTGGCGGCAGGAGCATGCTGGAATAAGAAGCTGAAGAAGAGCTGTCGGAGGAGGACGATGACGAATATGAGGAGCTTTCGCCTGAGAAGAGAAAGCTGAGAAACGACGGTCGTTTGCTGGTATCTTGATCTGGACTGAACGATGGCGATATCATTTTGGTTGCGGTTGGTTTTGTGACCTTGAGCTTTGGTATGGTGCGAGTGTCGCGCCCAGAGGTGCCTGTGGTTGCAAAGCCATCGGGTGAGGAGAATGAGGATCTGAAGAGGGATCCAAAGGAGCTGGAAGAGGAGGAGGAGGAGGAGGAGGTCATTGCTGTGAAGAAGGAACAAAGGAAAGGTGGAGGGTGATGAGGAGCTGGGAGCGCTTGCGCTTGTGGGGAGATACGAAGGCAAGGTTGGCACTGTGCACGCGCAGTCCGCTTCTTCCCTAAGTGCATGCACGCTACATTCCATTCCCTAGCTGCAAAAACAAACAAGATCATCGGGAAAGATTGCACTCCAACCGAATCGATGGAAACTGCATCGCTCACTTTTCAACATCACTCTCACTCTTTCCCCATCACATCACATTCGCCATGATCGCATCCCGCCTTGTCCGTCTTGCTGTAAGGACAACATCTCCTCCTTCTCCTCCCCCCTGCTTTACCCAATAAGCATTGCCATCCATCCTGCTCCTCTGCACTGTTTTCCCTCGTTTGTTGACGTGATGAACACTTCCCGCATCACTCCACATCCACACATCCATGGTGACGAACCAACAACTTGGCTCGGAAAGATCAGGATCGGACGCTCTATCCAGGAACATAGCGCAGCGTCACTGTAAAACGACCCACGAGTAACGCAAACAGTCGATCCACAAACCAGCCAACAAGGAGTGGGCTGGGCGCCCAGAGATCTACTCCACCCTGCCCCTGCAGTCTTCACACTTGCGACTGTGTCCATGTAGAAGTTTCGCCATAGCACTCCAACATGACAACCCTGCAACACCGAGCATCTTCCCTTCAGCTCGAACAAATCTCTTGCAATTTATCTGACACTCGAAAAAAAAAAAAAAAAAAAACGCGACTTGATCGATAATCCTGTAATAACAAAGGTTGATCCACGGTTCAATTGCGTTCTTGTTTGATAGGCTCCCGTCTCGCGCGCTGTTGCCGCCCGTCCTGCCACCGCCATGGCCGTTCGCAGCTTCACCGCTCCCTCGGCCCCTTTGATGCAGGGTATGTTTCCATCATCGTTTGAGGACTCAATTGGCGTTGCCCAATTCGTGCCTTAAATTTATCTTGATATAACAGGGTCGTTGACAACTTTGCATTTGCTTTATCGGAACATCCTAGATCTCCTCAAGGACTTGTACATCAAGGAGCTCAAGGCCTACAAGCCTGCCCCTGATGTATGTTACCTTTGCTCAAAGAACAGAAAGATCCGTTGGTTTAAGGAAGAAAAAGAAAAAAAGGGCACTATAGGTAGTTAGATCTAACCATCTATCTACGTACTGCCACTGTCTGTTTAATAGGCCAAGGGCGCAGATGCCTCTTCCCAGGTCAAGGACTTCAAGGCCCCTGTTGCCCCCGCTGTAAGCCATGTGATACGATGTTCATCTGGTTAAAGATATGCCAGGAGTCTTTACTCACTCAAATACTCATTTTTAATTAAATGACGATAGACCCCCTCAATTGATGCTGCTGCTGATCTTGCTGCCTGGGAGACCGCCAACACCGAGATTGCTGAGGCTGTCTCTGAGGAGGCCGTTGAGGAGGAGGAAGAGGAGGAGGAGATCGAAGAGGAGGAGGAACACCACCATTAAGGATAAAAAAATTGGTTATCTCTCTCCTCTCTCCCGATCTCTCTCCCTGCATCCTCATTACTTGACCTTGCTTCGCCCCTCCAGACATTTTCTACTCGATCGATAAAAAAAAAAAAGCTGGTCTTCAATCCCTGTAAAGACTTAAACTTACACTCCCCTCTACTTTTGCTTACAGAAAAAAAAAAAAGAAAAAGAATAAATAAATAATTCTTTCTTTTTTCTTTGGAGATGGATTTTATTGCAACTATAAATGGTTCTCATTGAGAAGAGTTATGCGCGTTCTGAGTCTTACTATCGCAGCTATTGTTACTGTTATTGTTGCTATTGTTGTACGTGATGCTGTGAGGCCGAGGTCCTTCTCAGATCAGTCATGGCCGGTCTTGCTTGCACACTCGTCGCGGACGCCTCCTCAATAACATTTTTGTTCACCAGCTTTTCGTCCATGTAGTCAAAATATTCCTCCCTTGGACCCTTTGCATAGAACGCGCCCGTAGAACGCGACATCGCAGATCCATCCAAGGACAGGGAGGTGAAGATGCCGCGGGTAAGATAATGAAAGAAGGCCAATGGGGTCGTATCTCTGTGTCGGGCGTACATCCTGTAAGAAATGACCAGAAGGAGGAATAAGAACAAAGTCAGGATTATGGTGAAGCTGGCCAGGAGGGTCCGATGGAAGGTTTGGACTCGCGTGGAGTGGGGTAGGTCGACGTAGCCTTCGTCGTCGATGGGCACAGTGGAGTCGCGGCGGAGGTCGTCTAGGATGTCATCGCCTTGGATGCGTTCTTGGCCGTTGATGGTGTTGGTCAAACGCCTCTTGGTATATATGATCGACAGTGCATCGTTTGCTTTGTTGTCCTCCTCCTTCTCTGTTTCTAAAGAAATGAGACTGGATTCTGCCTCTGCGGATCCAATCTCTGCTGGTACAGTCGATGTAAGAGCCAATTGTACTTCTTGTGAAGGTCGATCTTCGGCCTCATGGGTGCGGCGGTCTGGACTAACTGTTGTCGCCATGGACGAGGATGACACTGATCCATGTGTCTCGTCTGTCAAGGTGCTTTCCTCCAAATACTCTGCTGCAACATTTTCCGTCTTTGAAGTCAATTCATTCGCGTATTTCGTGCTGTCCACTTTGCTGTTGGTCACTTCCTTCATTTCTGTAAGTCCTGTCTCCTGCAGCAATAGAGCCTTTGATATCACAGCCAAGTCTTGAGTATCCCCGCCCTCAATGATATTCGACAGTGATGATGCAGGCGAATCCTTGGCTTGCTGTTGTGGCAAGAACGTGGACAGTTGGCTGTTGGAACTGATAGGCGTGCGGTAGCCTGAGTGCCTATGATGCATGCCTATGGACCCTTGTCTCTTGGGGATGGGTAATCCGTCGGCAGTGGCCAAAAAGGAGAGAAGCAGAGAGCATGCTGTTGCAATGGCCATCAACTGCTTCTTTCCTTGCGATGGGTTGCGCCTCATTATGGTGGACCGATGCGTGTTGAATAGACTGAGCGGTAGACGGCTTGCGAGAGTGTAGAAAGTGGATAAGAGATTGAGAGTGAGAGAAGGCTTTTTTTTTTTTTTTTTCATTGACGCCGGAACCCCTCCAGGCGTGCGTGCAGGCGTACCAAAAGGCCTCATTGTCCTAGCCGCGCGTAAGGCTGGAAACCACTGAGAGTGAGAGTGGGGAGACCTCGGCCGGGGTTCCAGATGATCTGGGCATCCGCGGTTGGTTGACGGGATCATAAAAATAGAATAGGGTGTCTTACATATATCAAACGACGCGTCGCGATACAGATGAGCCATTGTGCGATGGTGTTTGCCACCAACTTTAAATCTGCACTGACGATTATTTTTATATTTTTTTTTGAAGCACAGCACACCCCCTATCGCCGCCAATCAACTTCCTTCAAAGGTCGTCTTTGACGCCTCTACTTCTGGTGGCTACAGCATCCCCCTGCTTCGCTTTGCCCTCCTTCTCATTCTCATCTTCATGTGACTTTCTATATTTATTGCCTTCGCAGTTTTCTCCCAAATCCTTCTCCTCCTTTGACACGTACGTCTCCTCCAGTTTCTGCTTCAACGCCCCTCCAAAGCTCCTTGATGACTTCTCCTCCTCCACATACTCATGCACCACTGACTTATGGCCCAGATCTGGCTTCGGGAACCCAGGCTTGTTCAACTCTGCAATCGTCTTCAGATCCACCCATTGATCGCAACCGGAATAATCCATGACCTTGGGAATCATCTGCATGGCTTCTGTATACTTTGCAAATTCGCATTCGGCCCAGCAATCCTTCTGCATCCAGAGTGTATCCCTGAAGGCGATGCAGACACAGCGGACGACTGATGGCTCGATCTGACTGGGCTGTGCGGCCATAGCGATTGTATTCAACACGTCTTTAGTGCATACTTGAGGGAAATGGTTGTTCATTGCTTTATGCAGACAGGCTGAGCAGTAGTCTGGCGTTGATTGGTCAGACGATTCCAGGACTAACCGGCGTTCTTGTGGGGTTAGACGGGCATTGGTGAAAGAGGTGGACGCCAGGATGACGAGGATAGATAAAAAACTCTTGGTCCTCATTTTTTTGTTTCCTGCTCGATGCCTGAGTTTCTGAGACATTTGGATTGGTTGATCTATTTCTCGCCTTGACAGAAATGATCTTTGATCGATCGTAACGGTATGTGGGTGGAAGGGATAGAGAAGTGGAAGCGCCAGAGGAGTTTATTTCAACGTTGGCTACCAGGGACGGGAAGACAGTATCAAAGAAAAAGAAGTGTGAGTCAAAGTCGTTGGTGCTTTTCCGTTTTATTCCTGTGGTGGACCTTGCCCTGGACTCCACACTTGACCACATATTTGAAAGAGGCTCTAATTGAAAATCTGTTTATTTTGGTTGAATTATGCTGCTGCGAGGAATCGCGAGGCTGCTCTAAGAATGTCCTGCTATGTTCTAAAAGTACAAGGCTTGCATCTGACATGTTTGCTTGGGTATTGTCATTACTCGTTCTCGGCAGGGAAGGTCAAGAGAGGAGTCAGCTCCTTCAACACATTCTCAGTCTCCTCAGGGTTGACAATCCAGAGAGTGCAGCAGCTCGAGCGCGTTGCAAAGTCGTTTCCAGTGGACAAGAACTATTATGGAAGCAAAGACCACATCCATGATTAGCAATTGATACACCAAAAATTCTACTTTTCTGCTCGCTTATTCGCATGCGTACCTGATCGCCAACGTGGATGGTGGCATCGGGGGCTGCGCCAAGATAAGTCTGGAGCACTTGAACACCAATCAACTTGTTACCACTATTCGGTTGAAGAAAAAAGAAAGCACACATGCATTGCTTCGTCAACCGTTTGTCCAGGCTATCTTTGTACACGACACGCAACTAGAGTGCATGCTTCGAAACTTACATATCGACAAAGACGTCGTTTCCGCCGTTGAAGACACAGAACGGAATCGCAACCTTGGCTGGTGCAGACATTTGCTGGTACTCTAGCAGGCGCTGCTGGGTCGAGAGCACACACTCATCCAACTGCTCGCGTGCAATCCTGCCATTGTTAATGGGCACAATTCCGACAGCGCGAGATTTACGGATAACAGCGGCCTTCAGGTTCATAGCAGTGACGGAGCGTCTCAAGTTCTCTTCGGCAACGTCCAAAAGCTCCTGGATCTCATCATGCTTCCATGCAAGCATATCAGAGGGTTGATAAGATCTATTGCAAATGATCTTTTTTTTTTAACAAGGATGCAAATCGACCATGTTCTAATGCAAGAGGAAACGGGAAAAAATCAAAAAATCGGAGCAATCGACTTACTCGGGATGGATATAGGTCAAGCCAACGACAGACTCCCCAGTAACCTCGTTCTTCTTCCACCCACAGCGGAAGAGGTAGTTACATTCGCCTCCGAGGACATAGAAGCGCTCCAACAGCTTCTCGGACAGCCTGTGGTTATGGAATGATTTCAGAAGGCCACTCAGACGTTCCTCGTACTTGCCAGCATCGCCAGGGTAACCAGCAGCAGTGACAATGGCAACACGGAGACCAGCACGCATCAGCGTGATCAAGAGAGGAATCAATGACGACGTCTCGGTGAATGAGGTGCCGTCATCATACAGAGTCATATCTCCGTCGCTATTCAAGAGGAAAATAGAGACAAGTGTGAGAGCTTGAAGTGGTTTTGCTTCAATTACGTCATTCAGGCCCCATTCCGAGCGCAGGGGCTTTTTCTCCGCTTACAAGGTGATCAAGTTGATGGTGGGCGCAATAGCCATGACTTGAGCTGTGTTTAGGATCCTGCAATCGATGAATGAGTAATAAAGGGCAGTGTCAGAAAGAGTTAGAAATCAATTGACCGGTACCTAATGACATATAGCAAATGGGCATCTCCTTCCATTCCTCGTCCTTACCTTCGAATATCGTTGAAACTGGGAGGGACGAAACGTCTGGCAGCAATTGAGTGTTTTGCATTCGCGTCCAAGAACGCAGCCTCGAGGGGCAAGGGTGTGAAGAACTTCGCAACGGAAGGCACGATCCGGTGCAAACGCGAGTGTTCAGGCACGCCCTTGAGTGCCTTTCGGCGGTGCTCCTCAATCATGTCCTCAACCGACTTCATGATCTCGAGATAACGCTGCAGGTTTGCGTCGATCATGGGTTTTTCCTCCTCCTGGTAGTCGTTCTTGTCGTCATCATTGGTATTGCTACCTCCATTATTGTTGCCATTGCCATTGCCATTGCCATTGCCAGAGTTGCTGGCGGATGATTCCTGGCCACTGCCGAGTTCTCCTGGAACGAGAGGCGAGTTGAGGACGGGCTTGCGGGGCTTGGCGTGGAGGACAAAGGGTGTGAGAAGAAGGCCCTTGATGAACTCGATAAGAGGGTCGCGTTTCTATAATGACGACATGCAATGCAATTGTGAGTTCTCTAGCACCAACACCAAATGGAGAGATTACTTGCATTGTTCGCGCTCATTGAAATGCATTTTGGGCACACACTTACATGAGCGCGCAATTGGTAGTTGATCTAGGAGAGTGAGAGCGATGAGCGTGAGAAAGTTGTATAAGTTGCCATGAACGGAAGGCGGGTTGTTGTCGCTTAGCCCAGGAGCAGTGAAAGGTGTCTTACTCTGTAGGACGAAGTCATGGTTGGGCTTGGGTCTTGACTTGGCTTGACTGGAGTGGGCTGGAGAAATCGGGAGTGGTTGCTGAGGTTTGGAGGTAGTGGTGGAGGAGGGTGGATAGGTGTACAGGGGTAATTTACAGAGGAACAAGAAAACACAAAAAACGAGAACACAACTAGAACAAGAACAAGAACAAAAAGAACAAAAGGAGGACCGAGGCGAGAATCAGCTGCCTTTAAATAGTGCTGGAGGAGCAGTCCGTCAACCTAGGCTAGGAAGAAAGATATATACAAGTGTATAGTATAGCAGTAGTCTGGCCCTGGTACCAGCACCTTGGAGGTGGGAGCGATACCGCTGTCTGGACTTGCATGCAGCCCCACAAAAAATGCGGAGTTCGGCGGCCAGGAGAACAAGAAAAAAAAGTGGATCACAGCCCATCGGAGACTTTGATTGGTTGAAAGATAACGTTCCTTCGTACATCAGTGCTGGGTATCTGACTCTTATGTAGCCCCTGGGTCATTATCTGCTTATAGTCGATGCAAACGCGTTCGCTTGCTCACAAACACTCATAGGTCACAGAAGATAAGGGTTGAAGCTTCATCTTGAGACGACTACATATTCATGTGAGTAAATGGAAAGCCTGGAGAATGCGCCCAGCACTCTTAGTGTGAAGACCACTCGCGCCTCGCTGTGCTGGCAGAATTATCTTATTAATAGGAATGTACGAGAACTCTAGACTGGTATCCTCTGAGTTCTTCCCAATGTGCGTCGATCGAGCCGCTCTATTCCAACGTGGAGCATGAACCAGGCAGAGAGAAGGGAGAAAAGAATGCACTGGGTCTTCTAGTAGGAATCCCTCTGCCAAAGTGTATTCACATCTCATTTTATTCAAACTTCGCTAGGCAGGAAGGAAAATAGAATATGTTCGGAGAAGAAGCGCGAAGAGAGACTCAATGCGTTCAATAATGCGCCCAGCACGTATTATGAATATCATTATCAGGGGCGTTATCGAAGGATCTAAGCTGAATGCATTCCAGAGTTGGACTTGTGAAACCAATAAGGTTGGCCAATCACTCATGCAAGGAACGCCACCAAGCTGTCTGTGGGTCCACATAGTCTACCATCGGCAAGTCGACTCGACCTATTGGCAAGGGTCGCCTCAATCCTCATTTTCATTCATCGTCTCAGCGCTTCAGCTTTGGTTTTGCAACTTCAATAATGCGTACGGCTTTCACAGCCTTTTTTTTTTTTTTTTTTTTTTCTCCCTTTCGTTAACAGCAGTTGTCGATCAGCATCGACTATCTCCATGATTCAGCTGTATAGAGTGGGACCGGAGCCAACTGGAATAACCTGGTGTAGAGCTCATGGGGAGATGAGGAGAAATAGACGAGTTGGGCGGGAACGTTCGTCTAGGGATCCATGCGAGCCCCGGTTAAACATTATTTTGCCTCGTGACAACTGTTCGCTCCTCGCTTGTTTCGAATCATCCTTTTATGCGCCCTCCTACCGCTCGTCCTTGTCGGTACGAGTGGTGGTTCACGGAAGTCTATATTTCGGCTTGGAGAACAAATAGCGATGGCTTTTGCCTTTTTTTGATTTCCTCCGAGTGGATTGCTGCGCTGACCAAGGCGGCGACCGAGCAGGCTACGGTAATAGGGGTGTATTTGTTCTCTGGCGCCCGGTGTGTATTTCCCGCCAGCAGAGTGTGGGCATAGACTTAGACTAATGGATGTGTTCTGCGTGCATATCATATGCAGAGCAGAGTCTACAGATCATTGCATGGGGGAGGGAGGGAGGGAGCCGTGCTGTTTACAATGACAAATGATAATTGCTGGGTTGGGTCCAGGTACAGCCAGTCAGCGTCCTATCTGCGCTCAACACAGACCGCGAGAGCACATTGGTGGGAATGTTCTTACAGTGTGCCGATTTGTTCAGTGCCAGATGGGCCTGTCCTGTTCCTGGCTTTTTTCTTCCTTCAAAGGGGCAGCCAATCCAAACAACCTTTTCTTCTCCTTCTTTCCCTACTCCCTCCCTCGCCCCACCCTCCCCCTCATCCATCCACAGAACGACATCATTCAGAATGACCCTCTCCAACCCTGCCATGGTCGCTGTCTCCGGCATCATCCTTACTGGTGCCTACCTGATCGATCCCTCCACCGTGCCCTTCGCTCTCGCCGGTGTTGCTGCCACCTGGGCCCGAGTCCTCTTCAAGGAGTCCGCTATCCGAAGTATGGCCTCATCTCATCGCACGAATCAACAGATCGAGACTCAACGGAATTAGTCGCCGACAAACGGAATCTTGTTAACCCTTTCTTCTTCCTTAACCCTTAACCCTTAGTCCCTCCACTCGACCCCAAGGACTACCGCAAGTTCAAGTTGGTCGACAAGGTCGTCTGCAGCTCCAACACTGCCATGTAAGGAATAAGGGCCAATTGGATTCATCTTGTCAGAAGAGCCCCGGAGAGTAAGCCGGCTGTGTGCCTTGACTTTATCAAGAACAAAGGGACCTGACAGCAGTTGTGTGTCCATATTCAATCTTCATTAGGTATAAGTTTGCGCTTCCTAACGAGGATGACATCCTGAACTTGCCTATCGGCCAGCACATCTCCGTGATGGCCAACATCAACGGAAAGGACATCTCTCGCAGCTATACCCCTACTAGCAGCAGCGATGATGTCGGACACTTTGTCCTCTGCATCAAGGTAACTTCAATATCTACGGTCTCCGTGGTGCCCCCTGTCGGTTAACCATTTTAAAACTTTGAACTTTGTTACCTTTGTGTACTGACGAGTCTGGGATGTTTCATTTTTGTTTACATAGTCCTACCCTCAAGGAAACATCTCCAAGATGTTTGGCGAGCTTACAATTGGCGACACCATCAATGCTCGCGGCCCCAAGGGACAGTTCAACTACACCCCCAACATGTGCCGTCATATCGGAATGATTGCTGGTGGTACCGGTCTTACGCCCATGCTCCAGGTAATGAATGCTCTTGCTATGCTGCGCTGCCAATCCGTCAGCATTGGCGCCTAATTGCTTTTAAATATGCCCACATGTATAGATCATCCGTGCTGTTGTTAAGAACCCCGAAGACAAGACCCAGGTTAGCCTGATTTTTGCCAATGTCACTGAGGAGGATATTATTTTGAAGACCGAACTCGATCTGTTGTCCAAGAAGCACCCTCAGTTCAAAGTCTACTATGTCCTCAACACCCCTCCCGAGGGCTGGACTGGTGGTGTCGGCTTTGTGAATGCTGACATGATCAAGGAGCACATGCCCAAGCCTGCCAGCGACATCAAGGTCTTGCTCTGCGGTCCCCCACCCATGATCTCAGCCATGTCCAAGATCACTCAGGATCTCGGATACGACAAGGTCAACGCCGTCTCCAAGTTGCCCGACCAGGTCTTCAAATTTTAACTCGGAAGCGTCAACATATTCATTCATATTTTTACCCAATAATGCATCGGCATAGAAAGAGAACATACAATAAAAAAGACCGGGCCAGCCAGCCAGCCAGCAAAAAAAAGCTCTTTAGCCTAGTAACCTCCTTTAATTGTAAGGCTTCAGTTGCAAGGCAAAGTAGACCGCTTCAATGTCCAGTGTCCTGTAATACAGCCAGGCGTGAGTTTAGCATGACCAGACCTTGGGTAGATGGAGTACTATCATCTCTGGAGAATGGTGCACCCTTTTTGCGTTCTCCATCTCGTCGCTGCTGTTTGTGATCTGATGCCCTTGTTTGTTTTCCTGCCGCTTCGTCTTAAGGCAGCAGCAGTCCAGTTCCATAACGTAGCTTAGTTCCTTCTTGCCACGCAACAACCATAACTCCTTCCTTTCATTCTTTCTTCCTCGACCTTCTTTTATTCAATTCCGCATCTCACCATCGTCCTTCTTCCTGTCTTCATCTCTACGCTCTTTGGTATACAACTTTGATACTCTATTCATTTTCGCATCGAATTACCATTCAGCATCCTACTTTATTCCTCTACCGTTTCTAATACCGACATGGATATCGACCTGACCGACTCTCCAAGCGCGACATCGGTCTCAACCCCAACTGATGGCGGACTGCACCTCCACAAGAGACGCCGTACAGACGATCCAACTTCAGACAGGGACGACAGTAGCAGGACAGATCCCGAGGGCGAGGAAACCGAGATGGCCCATGGCGGTACCAACGGCATCGCTGGTGTGAATATGAACACGATCAACGGTTCAGAGTCAGCACGCGCTACCATCGCGTTGAGCGAACCACCCCAGTGGCAGAAGGTGATCGAGAAGGCTGTCAAGGCCATTGTGTCGATCCGATTCAGTCAGGTATCGGCCTTTGATACTGAAGGTAAGATAGATAAAACTGATGATATGTTTTGTGTCTTCTGTATGGGGATCAATCTCTTCAGGAGAACCTTTCATGGGGTTATCAGGATGTCATGTAGGATTGAGCCGCTTTCGGATACGCATACGAGCGAGAGTATTGTCGACTTCGGGAGCAAAATGTTCTGCGTTCCCGTCCCGTTGACCTCTGGAAACAGGGAAGGGCGATCAGTGAACTTTTGACGCTTTAAGTCAACCGAAAGGGGTGAAGGGGGGACATGACAGTGCTTATTTGGATTGCGAGTTTTGGATCATGAATGCCAGGATCAACTGTCAGTTTGGCCACAGTGTATCGCCGCGACTTTCATGCGTTTGAACCACAGCTTGAACACTTGGTGAACATACTGCATCATGGACCAGCTACGAGATCGTCTGTTGCTACCATTGCAACTAAATGGGTACCATGCATGCCATCATCGAGGGAGAAGTTGAAGGAACGATAGACACGCACAGAGGACAGGGAAAGAGAATGACAGAGTATAACGAATCATTCAATCTCTCATAATTTATGATTTCTACATGCATGCATGCGCGGTAGTTTGGGTGCGCTACTTTATATTTGTGTACGTGTGTGCATCGTCGAGATCTTTGCTAACCTTGCCATTTATTTCGTCTTGTATCCATCTACATTTGATAGGACCCGAGACGTCAGAGGCATCTGGGTTTATTGTCGACGCAGAGCTTGGGTTGATCCTGACGAATCGGTACGTGAGCATTCACACTGCGCTACGAATTCATCAATGAGCAGTTGTCCAGAGGAAGCTAACTCAGTTATTGCTTTAACTTTATGTATAGACATGTTGCTTGTGCTGGTCCCTTTGTCGGCGAGGCGGTCTGCCACGATCATGAAGAGGTCGATGTCTTTCCAGTATACAGGGATCCTGTCCACGACTTCGGGTATGTCTTTTCGTGTGCACGCGGGCATTTTGTTTTATGCAATTGAGCTATTCATTGGAAAATGAATGGTGTGAGCCAAGAAAGGGGTTTGAGCCATGATCGTGCCGGAGGATGTCTTTGGCTAATAATTAATCGCTTGTTTTATCTAAATTGCTACGCATGGTGCGTGCTAGGTTTCTCAAGTTCGACCCATCTAAGATCAGATATATGGAGGTGACATCGATCCCCCTGGCACCAGAAATGGCCAAGGTTGGGATCGATATCCGTGTTGTCGGAAACGATGCAGGAGAGAAACTTTCAATTTTGTCAGGCTCCATCTCGCGATTGGACAGAAACGCCCCTGAATACGGAGACTTGACCTACAATGACTTCAAGTAAGGATAGGGTTGACTATTTGCGACCATATGAGAGATTTCAGATCGACTACTAATGGTGCATATCATTGATAAATATTAGTACGTTCTATCTTCAGGCCGCTTCAAGTACAAGCGGAGGATCCAGTGGATCGCCAGTAATCGACATCAATGGAAATGCAGTCGCATTGCAGGCGGGAGGTAGCCTCAAAGCTGCCACAGACTTCTTCTTGCCATTGGACCGCGTTCGTCGTGCATTAAGTTTTATTCAGGAGGGCAAGCACGTAACTCGAGGCACCATCCAGACCCAGTTCATGTACCGACCCTTTGATGAGACCCGTCGTTTGGGATTGAGTCAGCAGACAGAGGCTCTCATCAGAAAAACTTTTCCCGAGGAGATTGGCATGCTTGTCGCTGAGACCGTCCTGCCCAAGGGTCCTGCTTCAGATTGTCTCGAGGAGGGCGATATTTTGGTTTCAATCAATGATGAGCTTATCACAAAGTTTGTACCGTTGGAGGATTGCCTTGACAGGAATGTCGGTAAAGAGATTGAGATCGTCGCAGAACGCGGAGGAGAGCGAAGAACGTTTAAGGTTGTGGTTCAGGATCTGCACAGCATTACACCCGATCGGTATGTAGAGATTGGTGGCGCAAAGTTGAACAACCTCAGCTACCAACTCGCTCGCAGCTTTTGCGTCCCTGTCAGTGGCGTCTACGTCTCGGAGCCCAGCGGGATGTTCAGATTCGAGGGACCGGATAGAGGCTGGCTTTTATCGTCGATCGACAACAAATCCGTTTACAATCTGGATGACTTTATTGAGGTTATGCAGACGATTCCAGACAGGGAGCGTGTCCCTGTGGTGTATTATTCGATCGCGGATGTGCACACGACCAGCGTTGCAGTTGTGCAGGTGGAACGTCACTGGAGCCGATTCCGGCTAGCGGTCAGGAACGACAAGATAGGGCTGTGGGATTTCACCAACCTGGGGACACCCTTACCTCCCAAGCCCATTGTGCCCTCGACTGTCAAGTTTTTGGAGCTGGACGAGTCGCTGGGGCCAGCAAAGGAGTTGTTCAGCAGCATGGTCAAGGTCAGCTATTACATGCCATGCCGTATCGATGGATTTCCCAAGAGCAGGGTAGGTTGAGGTGTTTTGTGGATATGTTTCTTTATAACGGCGTGTATCGGCGCAGCGATCTGATATAATGACACTCTTTTTCTCTAATAGAAATTGGGCGCTGGATTGGTTGTGGATGCTGAACGCGGTTTGATTGTGGTCTCACGCAACATCGTCCCCTTTGCCATGGGAGATTTGAACATCACTATTGCGGACTCCATCATTGTTCCCGGCAAAGTCGTGTACCTTCATCCTACGCACAACTTCGCCATTGTCTCATACAACCCCAAGGACATCGGTGGTACCCCCATTCAGTCGGCTAAAATCTCGCCCATCAACCTTGTTCAGGGCCATCAGGTCTCGTTGGTAGCGTTCAACCACAACCAGAGACCTATCTGCCTCAGGACTGTTGTCACAGACATCACCAGCGTAACAATCCCTCACAACGCTACGCCTAGGTTCAGAGGCATCAACTTGGATGCAATCACGCTCGACACGCCTCTTGCCCAGCAATGTTCCTCTGGTGTATTAGCCGATAGCGAGGGACGAGTTCAGGGGCTGTGGCTGTCATATCTAGGAGAGCGTAACAACTCTGGTCGGGATAACGAGTACCATCTGGGATTGCACATCTCGACAATTATGCCTGTGCTTCAGCCTATGCAACAAGGACTGTACCCTAAATTGCGCAGTCTAAACATTGAGATCATGCCTATCCACATGGCTCAGGCCCGCCACATGGGACTTTCTGATGAGTGGGTCAAGAAGGTGGAGGAGGCGAACCCTTCACGTCATCATATTTTTATGATCAGACGTACTGAAACGGGGTCAGTATCGGCCTCGATCCTTCAGGAGCTAGATTTGATCTTGAGCGTCAACGGCAAGGTTATCACGAGGATGTATGAATTGGATGTACAGTACGATGCTACAGAGCTGGAGATGGTTGTGCTTAGGAAGAAGGTCGAGGTCAAAGTGACGGTCCCTACAGAGGAGGTCGATGGCAATGGAACGAGCCGGTTGGTGATCTGGGCTGGCGCCATGATGCACGAGCCCCACAAGGCTGTCCTGCAACAGAGCAAGACTCTGCCCAGCAGGGTCTATGTCAGTGCACGCTCGAAGGGCTCTCCGTCGTACATGTATGGCATGGTTCCAACAATGTGGATCACACATATCAATGGTACTCCCACCCCGGATCTGGATGCCCTACTTATGGCTGTGAGGCAATGTCCCGATAACTCATATGTCCGCGTCAAGACCATGAGCTTTGACATGATCCCAACTGTTTTGAGCATCAAGACGAACATGCACTACTGGTAAGCCCTGCTTTAATCATTTTTTAATGAGCGGAGCAAATTGTTCCTGCGATAATTTCGCTGACACCTCACTGCTCTTTTTTTTTTTTTCCAATTGCCAGGCCCACGGCAGAAATGGTCAGGGACGATAACGAGGAATCTGGATGGCGTAAGGTTGCTGATTCGCCCGCTCCCACCAAGGGGTCAGTAGCATCGGAAGATGGTCCAGCTGCGGTCATTGTGGACGGAGATGAGGTCGATATGGAGGAGGACGGCGGCGAGACCGTTTAAGTCGACAGAAGACCACCATTATCATTAGTACTGTTTATCGTGTCATTGTCCCTTTTTACCGTCGCCATAGATTGTGTTTCTTCAATGTCAGTTATTACTTCGTATCCATGTTTTTGTAAAGCCTATAGTTACTCTTGGGAGCTCTGAAATTGTGAAGAAAGCCGCCTTGTGTTTGAAAGCACATAGTCTTAGTTTAGATACTAGGAGGTGTGTGCGGTTCGTCACTTCGGTGACGTAATTTTAGCGCCCATTGTCTAGAATCAACCACCTTGCACAGTCAGTTGACGAGCGAAATTCTGATCAATAGCAAAACTGCTTCAGTACCAGCATGTCCAGACCACGTAGTCCGAGTGCGCGCGACAGCCCCTCGGAGCAATCGCCTTCATCTTCAAAGCGCTCTCGCCTGTCATCGCCCACCGGAGGATCTCCAGGAGGACTCAGCTCGATTCAATCGCCATCGTCCATTGCTGCGTCAAGGCTATCAGGCAGCCATGGCACCCTGCGTTCCGATGCGTTAGCCATGGATACGGATATAGATGATCACCATAGAAACAAGGACAACAAAGACCACACCCGCTCGTCCTCGGATCGCGACCGTCAACACCGCGACAGGGAACACAGAAGTGATAGAGATCGAGAACGGCACAAGGACAGGAGTCGTGATAGAGACAGGGAAAAAGATCGTGATCGGGAACGGGACCGGCATAGAAGCGACAGATCCAAAGAGCGTGACCGCGACCGAGACAGGGACCGCGATCGCGAGAGGGCAAGGAATCGACATAGATCCCGATCAAGAGACCGTACACGCGAGCATGGACGGGACCGTGAAAAGGATAGCAAAGGCAGCAGAGACCGTCACGACAGCAGAGATCGACGAGATCGTGATCGAGGCAGAGACCGGCATGGCGAGCGGGGGCGTGATCACAGTCGCGATCACAGCGGCCGCGACAAGCTAGAGCCTTCAGAGCAGCCACGTTCGTCGTCCAGGCCGCTCGAGGAAAGGGAGAGGAGTTCGACGCCTACCACAGAAACTACCATCACAGCAAGCACACACACCAACACTAACACTAACACTAACACTAACACCAACACCACCTTCACACCAGCGGAGACGACCATGTCGACGATGCAGCCAGCATCCTTCGTCCCCGTTGAGATTGCGCCTCAAGCACCCAAAGTAAGCCCTGAACAACCTTTTGGTTCAACATTGGAGTGTCATTCAGGCTCCTAATTTGTTCTCATCTCTTCAATTCTTTTTGCAGATAAAAACACCTATTTCATTGTCAATGTCATCAAAAATGTCTACTACCCCGGCACCACGCACCATTTCCGCTGCATTCGGCGACTCGGATGTTATTCGTAAGAGACGTGAAAACGTGCTACAATGGAGACTGGAAAGAGAAGCGGCCAAGAAAGCGGAGGAGGAGGCCAAAGCAGCAGCAGCATCTCAGCAATTGAATGGAACTTCCAATAGCACAAAAACACTAACAAGCTCTGCGGAGGATTCGTCTGCACCTGCTGCGCCCTCTAAACCTTGGAGCTGGGACGAGGACGATGAGGACGAGGACGACTCTAGCGCGACGATACCAAAGGATGCAAATGGCGATGTTGTGATGGGCGACCGGGAGGAGGAGGAGACAGCAAAGGCGGAAGACGCAGCCATAGAGGAAGATGAGGTCGACCCTCTGGATGCCTTCATGGTCGAAGTCACAGCAGAGGTGCAGCAGCTGGAGAAGAAGGAGCAGAAACGGGATGCTAAAGTTAACAAAGGCTCTGGTAAATCGAAAGGAGCAGATGCTCCTGCAGCGGAGGTGGCTGGTAACGACGATGGTGAAGACGAGGAGATGGAGGGGTCGTCAGAAGAGGAGGATATTCTCGCTATGGCAGCCAAGAGGATAAAGAAGAAGGACATACCGGCAGTGGACCATTCCAAGATCCAGTACGAGTACTTCAGGAAGGACTTTTACCTGGAACCCCCCGAGATGTCGGAAATGTCTCCTGAGGAGGTGCATAGTATGAGATTGGAACTCGATGGCATCAAGATCCGAGGTGCAGATTGTCCCAAACCTATTAGGAAATGGACCCAAGCTGGACTTCCTCCAGGATGGTAAGTACATGCAAAAAATCCCTGCTGCCCTATCGCTTTAATTGCTTGTCCGTGTGCCTTTGGTGAGAAGGAATGGTCCATAATAGCTCAGCTCAATATTTTCTTTTCTCTTCAATCATTGCTCTTGTGTAGTATGCAAGTGATCAAGGACAAACTCAACTATACTGCGCCTACGTCAATTCAATGTCAGGCAATTCCGGCCATTATGAGTGGGCGTGATGTGATTGCGGTTGCCAAGACCGGCTCAGGAAAGACGATTGCATTTATCCTGCCCATGCTCCGTCATATCAAAGATCAAAGACCGCTCGAAAACATGGAGGGACCAATCGCTATCATCATGACACCCACGCGCGAGCTGGCAGTTCAGATCCACAAGGAGTGTAAAAACTTTTTGAAGGTATTGAACTTGCGAGCAGTCTGTGCCTATGGTGGCTCGCCCATCAAGGACCAGATTGCAGAATTGAAGCGTGGAGCCGAGATTGTCGTCTGTACGCCTGGCAGATTGATTGACTTGTTGTGTGCTAACTCGGGCAGGGTGACCAATCTGAGGAGGACGACGTTCCTGGTTCTTGATGAGGCCGATCGTATGTTTGATATGGGATTCGAACCACAGGTAATGTTGCCAGTACTTGTTGTGCTTGTCAGATGTGAGGACATCGTCTAAAAAACGGCAAGGATTGACCTTTTGCGTCTTATTTCTTTAGGTCATGAAAATCGTCCAGAACGTCAGGCCTCAGAGACAGGTTGTTCTCTTCTCAGCAACATTCCCCAAGCAGGTAAGTGACGCGCAATGATGTTGAAGTTTATTTGGGACCGACTGCAGTGGTTTGAGGGGTTGTTGCTGAAAATCAACACTAAATCGCTTTCTTCCTCCACATAACAGATGGAGGCGCTTGCCCGTAAACTGTTGAAGCGCCCGCTCGAGATTACAGTTGGCGCACGCTCTGTCGTCGCAGAGGATGTCACGCAAGTGGTGGAGGTTCGCGAGGACGATACGCGATTCAACCGACTACTCGAGATTCTAGGCCAAGCGTACAATGATGATCCAGAGGCGAGAGTTTTGATTTTTGTCAGTCGACAAGAAGCAGCAGACAACTTACTGAGGGATCTGATGCGTCGTGGCTATGTTAGCATGTCCATCCATGGTGGCAAGGTATGTCTTATGGCATGCTATGATCAGTTGCTGCTTCTGATGCTGCAGTTGTAGTTGACCCATATACAATTCTCTTTTTTTCCGTTCCTTCTTTAGGATCAAGTAGACCGCGATAGCGCCATTGCAGACTTCAAGTCGGGCGTTTGTCAGATCCTAATTGCTACATCCGTCGCTGCCCGTGGTTTGGATGTCAAGAAGCTGGGAATTATTATCAATTACGAATGCCCCAACCATATGGAGGACTATGTCCATCGCGTGGGACGGACAGGTCGTGCGGGCAATAAAGGCATTGCCTATACGTTCATCACGCCTGAGCAAGAAAGGTTTGCACCGGATATTGCCAAGGCATTGACAAACAGCTCGACACCGGTGCCACCCGAGCTACAGGTACTCGTTGATTCGTTCCACGAGAAAATCAAATCTGGAGATGCTAAGCAAACCGCCTCTGGATTTGGCGGCAAGGGTCTGGAGAAGTTTGAGAAGGAAAGAGACAAGGTCCTGGCGATCCAGAAGAAGGTATGCAAAATGGCTGGCAGATGGTATAAACTTTGCGTGCTCTTTCAGTACTATTATTTGCATCAGAGTACTTACCCAACCCCTTTTTTTTTTTTTTTTTTTTTGCTCCATCGTAGACATACGGTGCTGATGATGAGGAAGATGGATCAGACGGCGAAGGTGGTGAAGGCAAAGAACTGGTCTTGGAGGTCAAGCAAGTCCAGCCGGGCATTACAGCTGGCAAAGCTGCTGCTGCTGCTGGCGCTGCTGCAGCGGCCGATGATACCAATGATGCCAAGTCGAATGGTGCAGCGGCTGGAAGCGGTGCCGGCAAGGCTGCGCCCAGCGATGCCTCAGAAGGTAAGCTTGTGCGCTTTGCGTCAACAATGTATTTTTTCTTTCATGTCTTAATTAGTTCTTTGAGATCGGCTTTCTAACATCTATCCCTTTCCTTCCGCCTGACAATAGCTTTGAGAAGGGCCAGGGAAGCAGCCGAGGCGCTAAGCCAGTCGCTAGGAGGAGATGCCAAGCAGCGCGCTATGGAGGTGATCAATAATCTTAATCGTGCTCGACCTGGAACCGCTGGGACTGGAACGGACGGTGCTGGTGGGGCTGCTGGTGGAGCAAGCGGTGGTCCTGGTGGTCATCGTGACAGCGGTTTTGCGCTAGAGATCGAGATTAACGACTACCCACCGAAGGCGCGTCTGATGGTGACACAGAAGATGATGATTAACCAGATCTCGGACCACTCTGGAGCAGCCATTACGACGCGAGGCGTGTTTGTGGAGGAGGGCAAGCAACCCCCGCCAGGCGAGCGCAAGCTTTACTTGTTTGTGGAGGGAGATTCTCAGCTGGTGATCGACAAGGCCAAGAACGAGATCAAGCGTATCCTGCAGGAAGAGACCATGCGTGCGGTCGAGGCGACGAACCGCGGAGGTGGAGGTGGTATGGGCCGAGGAGGAGGAGGGCGTTTCCAGATCGTTTAGAATCCGACATACTGCTTAATGTATTCTCGAACCCAAGCAGATGGCCTTGGCATGTTTATTAAAAGTCTACTATACAAAAATTGAGAGGAGCGGAGAAATGGCGGACAAAGACCGATGGGTATTTGGCGATTGAAGGGCGCGAGATATGCTTGTAAACATAACATCATGAGATCTGGTCCTGCGACTGTTGCTCAGAGCGGTGCAGAGGGTGACGATGATGAAGAGGCTGTCAAGGATAAATGGCCAAATAAGGCCTGGAGTCGAGTCAATGCCACGGCCCTAAGTCGATCAGCCTCATCCACGCCGTCGCCGTTTGCCAAGCGACTCGCTGCTGATGCGTCGTTGGCGTTTGTGAGGAGCTGCAACTGCCGCCTGGGATCCTTGCCGAACAGCTTTTCCCAGTTCCATTCTGCGCCGACATACTTGACGGACCGTCTCTGGTCATTTTCGGTCGCAAACTCCTGAGCCCATCCATTTTGCATCGTGGAAGTTGAAATAGAGGGTCCACAAGGCTGAGTCGACCGCCCAGAGTCCTGGTCCGAGAGCCCTGGTAAGGTGGCGGAGGACGCGGCTGGGTAATAGCTCTGTTCTGCTGAATGCAGATCATTAACAAGCGATAAGAACCGGTCCTCTGCATGGACAGGCCGGGGCTGTTGAAGCTGTGGGGGTTGTTGAAGATGTTGAAGTTGTTCATTCTGGTGGTCGATATCTGAATAGTGGAAATTCATGAATTCGTCCACACTGAGGGTGGTCGAGTTCTGTGTTGACTCTTCTACGGGGTCAAGCCCTGGCACACGCAACCGTCTAGGGGTGCCGTGCAAATGGGCTGTCCTCGTCTCGGTTACGGTGGCCGCAGCAGCAGCAGATCCAGCCATCATCCACGCAGATCGGGGCGGACCCCCCATGGCCTGTCTCTGCCTCTCCCGCTCCTCTTCCAGTCGAGCCTCCTTCAACCGGTCCTGCTCCTCAATTGCTCGGAATTGAGACTGATGGCTGTTGATGTAGGCCTGTGTAAAATGATCGTTGCTCCACTCCTCCCGAAACTCATCGTCCCCATCATCGTCATCATCCGTGTCGGCTGCCTCCTGTTGACGCGACCACTCCTGGGTCCACGAACTGTGTTCGTTCGTTGGCGAGGTTGTTGTCCCGAGCGGCGCCGGTTGGTAATGAAAGGATTCGTATTCGGAGGAGGACAAGTCAGGATGGGATGCCATGGATACACCAGAAAGAGTGGTCTGGACTTGATGTAGGTGATCCCCAGCCAGGTGCTGTTGTTGCTTTTGATGTTTTTCCCAGGCAGAGATCAGATCCAGATCCGGCAAATATCTCTCCTGGCGGTGATCATGGATCTGTGGTCCATAAGACGGGTATTGTTCGTTGAGGTGATGATGGTACGAGGTTGAGTCTGAGGCGGAGGTGCTGGACCATGCCTGTTCGAATGGATCGATGGTATTAACGGACGTTGGCTTGAAAGGGCCTCCGTGGAGCTGCTTCTGAGGGTGTTGCTGTGGTGGTTTCAAGTAAGGAGGGCGAGTATGGCGTGGGAAGAGGCCCTGTAGATGATGTTGGCGTTGGTGCTGTTGGTGGTGCTGTGGAGTGTGAGTAGAGCGGAACAAAGAAGCCTTGGCCGAGAAGCTGGACTCGCCCAGGAGCTGGTTCGCCAGGGCGTTCAAGGGCGCACTGCCCGAGGACGAGTAACACTGGGCCATGAGGAAATCAGACAGAACAGAGCACAAGAGGAGGATTTAAACCAGCACGACAGGGGGGCGAAGGAAAAAAGCGAAAGAAGGCAGATGATAAAGAGGAAAGGAGGAAGATGTGGCGGAGATGGAGTTGAAAGACAAGATAAAGAGACAAACAGCAGTTTCTTTGCCCACGGAGGACAGAGGCCGGAGATTTTAGATTTGCGTGGAGGGACGACTCACATTTCACCGAGAGCGAGGGAGGGGATTGGGAGATCAAGATAAAACCCAAAAGGGGGAGGAGGGGGATTGATTAGCATGTGATGTGCAACACACATGGCATCCACACACCCACACCCACACCCACACACACCCACAGGGACACAAGAAACACAAGGACTGTTGCAACCTAAATCCCTAACCAAGCCATCTCCAATCTTGATAGGACGTACACGGAACAACGCAGACCTGTGCAGACCCGTACACTCTGCATACCACACACTCACAGCGCAGACGCGCTTCCTAACGCCAAAAAGGCAACGCCCAAGGGATAGGACCAAATCAACCCCATTGCAGCTCGGTTATTACTATCCCTCCCTTTGCTAAGCATTGTCCTCGACCCAACTCTGTTACTTGCTTCTTCACCTTACCTCCTTTCCTTTTCTTTTTTATTTTTTTATTTTTATTTTTTTATTTTTATTTTTTTTAAAAAAATAAAATCCGTAACAAAGAGACTCGTCAATACGGTTTTCATGCACTTCTGACACTACCCACAATGCGGATGCAATCCTGGGCTATCGTAACAACCGCGGCTCCTACGGTCTTCACGCGTCAAGTTGACATTCCCCATTTATACATTTACAAAAGAATGTTTAGTGACACGACCTTTTATTATTATGCGGATACGAGAAAAGGAAGAAAAAAAAAAAAAGACGAGGGTATAAAACAGCGCGCGCGGAGAGAAGGGCCAGCAACAAGCAACAAGCAACATCCACAACTCATCCTGCGGTAGTCTTAGTCGTCGTGCGCAGAAAAGATCGTAATGTGATGCACCAAAGACATATAAAAAACGAAAAATACAGAACAGGATAATATGCGTAAAAATAAAGCAGGAAACAGAAGAGAAGGAAGGAAAAACGAGAGGAAAGGGGGGAGAGCGACAAACGATGGGCGTTATGAATATGATAGCAGAGACGTTGAACATGATGGGGCGCGGTATGAAATGCCGCAAGAAAAAAAAATTACATGATCACGATAAGAAAGTCTACAACGGGGCACCGTTCTACATCGTGTGAGCTGAAAAGCCATGCTCTGATACAACTGGAGCTACAGGACCCGTGCCAGATCCCGATGTATCCATAGCGCTCATAGATACTGTTAATGGCGGTGGCTCCTGGCCATGTGGGTTACCATTGTCCCCCGTTGTCGGTGTCATGAAGAGGCCGCCTCCGTTCACAACAATACCACCCCCGCCAATTTGAGATCGGGACATATCCTCAACAGTTCCTGGATTATGAACCATGCCCATAGCTGCACCCACGGGAGGCGTTGGCGACAGAACCGGAGGTGGAGGCGAAGACACACCATGTCCTGGGTGCGAATTCATACCCATGACCATCGCCATGTTCATTCCTAAAGGCATCGGCATGGCCATAGGTACGCTGCTGTTGCCAGCGCTGCTCATGGAGCCTGGAATGGGCGCAGGTCCTGCAACAGCTGATGAAGGGACGACTGCAGCTTGAAATCCAGGAGAACCGGTCGGAGTGATGCGATGGCTGGAGTCGCTTGACGATAGTGTCATTCCTGACATCCTCATATTTGCCTGTTGCGGTGCTTGCGGTGGGAAAGCTGCGCTCATGCTGATGACCCCTTGTCCTTCCAAAGATGCCATAGTAGCATTCCCCATCATCATCGACAAGGACGGCACCGACGACGTCGATGAGTGAGCGGATAGAGTCGGTTTGATGATCGTCGCTGGGGTGTTGAAGCCATTACTGTATCCAGGTGCACTCACCATCACCCCAGAACTAGGCGAATTAGTTCCCGAGGATAGCGCGCTAGTCGACAAAAGTCCCCCACCCATGACTGGATCCGAGACCATAGCCAGATTGAATCCAGCAGACTGACTGAGTTGACGGTGGTGTCCATGATGTTTTGCGGCCCGACTAGATCCAGAGGTAAAGTCAGGGTGGTAAGGATGGCTAAAATGGGAGTACTGTTGCTGCTGCGGTTGTTGTTGAGACTGGAGATGAGAGCCTCCGGAGCCGGGTGTTATTGAGGTGCTGCCACCCGCGTCTGTCGCAGAGCCTGGCGTGGTCACATTTGATCCCGGTCCGCGCAATGCCCGATGATGACCTCCACGCTTCGCCTCATGTGCCAGTTCGTGCTTTTTGAGCGATCTCGCATGGTAGTATGCTTTGGGACATCCCTCCACAGGGCAGACGTATGGCCGGATATTAGAGTGCGTCTTCGTATGTGTCGTCAAAGAATCCGGCCTCGAAAACTTCTTATCGCAGCCTGTAGAATTCAAGACGGTCATAGCATTAGCACGCTGGATGTACGGAGAGAGTGTCAAGAGAAAAAACAGCTAGCGGATCAAATTATTACCTGGGACAAGGCACTTGAAAGGTCGCTCTCCCGTATGTGTGCGCAGGTGGTTGTACATCTTGTGTCTTTTTGTGAATGGCTTCTGCTGCCTGTGGCAACCTTGCCAATGACAGCTGTAGCAAGCCTTCCCGCTTCCAATGTGAGCCTCTGTAACGTGTTCGTTCAGCTTGTCCATGGTGTCAAAGGGGGTGTTGCAGTCTTTCCACAAGCAGACCAGCTGCTGCGGTGCTTCCGAGTCGCCTCCTGCAGCATCCTCGCCTGTCGTGCCACCAGATGATCCCTTGCGGTGCTTATTGCCACGGGAAGACCTTACGTCTCCACCCCCATCCGTCTCATCCTCGTTGTCCTCATCCTCCGCCTCATCATCATTGTCCTCGTCGTCTTCATCACCATCATCATCTTCGTCGTCATCATGCTGACCGGATGCAACAGCAGTTGTAGCTTCCGTGGCTGATTTGACAGAGGAAGTCGTTGTCTGCTTATCCGATGCGTCGTCCTTGGAGCCTTCCTGCGTCGCAGACATTGGCTGCGGAGTGGGCGATGAGGAAGGGCCGTTCGACATAGGTGAGAATGTGAGAATTTGGGGTGGCTCTTGACGCTGAGCTGGAGACGATATCGGCTGCGGGAATGCTATAAAATGCAAGGTTTCAGGAGTGATAAGTGTCAATGCAAGGTCCAGCAGCCTGTTGTCTTTAGCACTGAAAATCCAGAATCCTTACCAGACAGCTCTGAGGTAGCTTCCTCGCCTTTCACTTCTACTTTAGGATGACTCGACCTTCTCATTGATAACGAGCCTTCCATCTGCCGTTCGTATTCCATTACTTTTTCAATCAACTCCTGCTTGGATAGTCCTTGTAATTCTGAACGTGTTGAGGGCGCTTCCAAAACTTCCATGCTCTCTGTCTTGACCGAAAGGGGCTGAGTGTCATTCAAGTTTTGAAGCTGGAGATGTGTAGACACCTCCATTACAGAGTCCATTAGCGAGTTACTAATTGGCCCCACGGTTGGAGATGGGCCGGAGAGTGGGTCCGGGGAGTAAATATGTCCGGATTCGTTGGGCGAGCCCAGCGCGGAGAGGGGAGGCATGGCACGTGCTTGGATATCTGCGACATTGATCTTGAGTCCAGCTGAGGCAGTCGCTCTAGGCGAGCGACTTTGATGGGGCTCAACGTCAGCTCGACGCAGGTTCTCGAAGATGAGCTGCTCTTTGGCAGCTATCATCTGCTGCTGCTGATGGAAAAGTTCCTGATTCGAGAACACCATCCGGACCTCGGGCGAGTGGTGTCCGGATGATGGGTGGCGACGGTGGCTCTTTGCGGTATCTGCAAGAGTGGCCATGATCCCCTCTGGCGGAGTGTATGCCGGTGTCGTTGATGAGCTTATTGGATGAGGCTGCATGGACGGGACCATTGGTGTGAAACCCTTCATCGACTCCGCAGAGGACAGCGAAGTCGCGAATACCGTCTCAGCAGGTGTGTTGGGCGCGATAGTTGGCGCCTGAGGAGTGCACAGAGTACCGGGTTCCATTTTGACAGGCATAGTGAGAACGGACTGATGCTGTTGCTGTTGGTCCAAACTAGACATAAGCTGAGTTGTTTGAGGGTCTTGGTGAGGTGCTCCTGCTGACGCATTATGTACTAAACCCTGCACTGCCGACATGGCTGCAAGGCTTTGGCTGACAGGCATCATAATAGTGTTTACATCTGCTTCTGAAGGGGAAAGAACAGTTTGCGCCGATGCCATAGCAGCCGCTGCCATGATGTTGTTGACTTGTTGCTGCTGCTGTTGCTGAAGATGTATCTGCTCTTGAAGGTGCTGCTGTCGCTGTTGCTGGATCTGAGCGTTCAAAATTTGCATGTCCATGGTTATAGATGGCGTAACGCGTCCATCGAGCGAGAGTTGGTGACGATGCATCCCTCCAGCTTGAAGAGGCGGTTGTTGTGAAGGGATCACTGGGGTTTCTGCCGCAGTTGGTGCGTTGAGTCCGTCCTGTATCATCATGATGTCCTGGTGTGAAGGCGCCTCAGAGCCTGATGTGGCGTTCGCATGCGCATGCTGGACATGCTTTTGCTGAATCTGTTGATGCACTTGCTGTTGCTGCTGCTGTTGCTGCTGCTGTTCAGTGCTCAGGAAATGAATCTGCGTGTTGTGAAGGACAGCTTGTTGAAACGACATTGGCATTTGCGGTAGTGCCTGAGGGTCTAGTGGCACAATCGATGGGCTCACGAGCACCCCTTGTCGCTGTGCTGAGGGGGGACTCATAGGTAGAGACGACAAAGCCTGGTGCTGATATTGCTGATGTTGCTGCGCAAGATTCGCCTGGAGGGCCTGAGGTGATATACCTTCTGTGGTCTGCATGGCAATCTGCGGCTGCTCCAGCATGTTGTGCATCTGCTGTTGTTGTTGTTGCTGCTGTTGCTGTTGTTGCTGTTGGTGAAGTTGCTGTTGCTGCTCCTGTTGCTGTTGGTGTTGATGACGTTGTTGTTGCTGCTCCTGCTGTTGCTGCTGTTGCTGTTGCTGCTGTAAAGCATGATGGAGCTCGGCTGCCTGCTGAAGCTGTTGATGTTGCTGATGCTCCTGCTGCTGATGTTGATGTTGATGCTGCTGTTGCGGTGTCGGAGTTATTATAAAGGGTTGGCCGTTGTGCGCAGGTGGACTAGAGAGCACCACACCCTCCATCGCGTAGCTTGTCATGATCTGACCATTAGGCTCATAGACCTGACTGGGATGCGTATACTCTCCCGGGTTGACTAAGGCTTGTTGCTGGCCCATGGTTTGCATATGTTGCTGGAGCTGCTGTTGCTGATGTTGTTGATGTTGTTGTTGCTGTTGCTGTTGTTGCTGCTGTTGCTGTTGCTGCTGTTGCTGTTGTTGTTGCTGTTGCTGTTGTTGCTGCTGTTGATGAAGCTGTTGTTGTAAATCCTGACTGCCGTCTTCTGGCATATGAGAAATGCCATTCAGAGGTGTTGTAACATTACTGACGGGGTTAGCTGTCGTGGACATGTTACCGATGCTGTTAATGCCAGTGTTCAAGAGGTGGATATGATTGCTGCCAGGTTGGAGAATAACTTTATCATTAGAGGCGGAAGTGAATCCTGTAGTGTGCGGTATAGAGTCGCTCATTCAAGAGGGTTCAGGCGCCGGGCCAAACGGTGGACAGGACCTAAATAAATGAATGTCTGTTAGCGGGTATATGGATCCTGAAGGAAAAGATATACCAATGTACTGACAAAAGGCTCGACACGAAAAAGAATCGATAATCAATGATAATGGTACCTGAAAAAAAAAGAAAAAAAAGCTTCCTGTATTATTAATGGCACTCGAGTTCCAGTCAGTCCTTGTTCGGTGCCCGCTTTTGAGATCCCTCCGAAGGCGGTGAGAAGTTCCTCTGGAAGGATATCTGTGCTTCCGGCCTGCTGTGAAGAATATATCAAACCAACTGTAACCGGCTATAGTTTGTTGCTATTACTGAGCCTCGATAAACGTCTAGAACTTGAGCTTTGGCGGGAAACGGCGAGTACGAAGTGTTATCCTCCGTAGTTCAGGCAGATAAGTGTACTGCGCAAAGGTGGGCCGAGGAAATAAGACAGACGGGTGTAGGATAGTCCGGCGGGGTGGCGAGAGTAAAGAGGGGCGCTGGGGGTGGTTCAAGGGATGCCGGTGACGAAGGGGAAATGATGGAAGCGGAAGGAATTGCGTGCGAAGGTGTGAAGGCGAGAAGTGGGATGAGTAAGGGACCCAAAACGATGGCGAAACAAAAACAAACGGTCCAGCGCTTATTGGGTAGCAGAAATGTGTATGTGGCCAATGGAACGATGAGTTATCTAGTCGTTTTAAATTTCTGCAAAAGCAGCCTAAAACGGCCCTCTCTCTTAATGCAAGACGTCCTTCTTCGCGGCGAGACATTTCGTGAACAAACAGGTCGGAACCCCTGAACAGAAAGTGCTACGCTCCCCAGCGGCGCTGTCTTCCGTTGTTACGAATACCCGCATTGTCCAACGGCGCAGCTCACAACGCCATTGACCCCCCCGCTTCTCTCTTAGTTTTTCTGAAACAATAGGAACAGTAACATGAGGTACCACTTCGATTACGTGATCCAACGGCAAGTGAGGCCCTGTTTTCTTTTCCAAGTACGTACGCTATGCTCCAGAACTTTGAAAGGCCCCGCAATATGCACTCTACTATACTAGCACTTGTTTATACGCCCATCTGTCATGCGATTCAAAACACGCCTACTGCATAGGAGCACGCGCAATTGCCATCGTTTGGCTGTATGTCCTGTTGTCCCCCACTGCAATTGAATAATTGTCGGCACATTTTATTTACTGAAAACACTTGTAAAACATCCACTCGTGTCGGCTCTGAAGAATCCATTGGAAGCAATACTCGCATCAATGGTCGAATGAACCATCCTGGCAGCTCAGTCAATAAGACGCTTCTTCCGGAAGAAACGCTTCAAGTAAAAGATCTGCCATAATCCCAAGGCCACCAAAACAACCATTGTCAATGTTGAGAAGTATTTGACGCGCTCATTTGTTGATTCTAACGATTGGTAAAATCCGGTATCAATGGTACGTGATTAGAAACGGCAGATAAAAAAAGTTGTGCACTTGGCGACAGCACAAGATACCATTGTAACCCCATATCTGTTGACAAATCATCGTAAATTACCGTTTGTGTTGCGCATTCTCTCCTCGCGTGCCTGGAGTTGTTCCATGTTCTCGAGGATGTCCTTAACAAGGTCCTCCAGCTTGCGCAACTCCAACTCCATGGGCTTCAGCTTTTCCTGCTCTGCCAACTTGGCATAGTCAATAGTCTCAGACCCAACGTCAAAATCAATGTCAACCGTGCGAGTATAGCGGGGATCTGGCTGGTAACCTGACATTCATGTCCCATAATTGTACGAGTGTCAGCGCGATGTGGAGAAAAGGATATCGTTATCACAAGAAAAGATTGGCGCAATAAACAGTTATTTCGTACCGTTATCAAGGGTATTGGTGAAGCAAGCAACAACATCGCCAGCTTGCTTGGTCAGGATGGTGGCACGCTGAAGGTCCTCTGTTAACGCATCCTTTCTCCAGAGCTGGTTTTGGTGCTCACTATCGTCAGTGATCTAATATACCGACAGTCGCGTCGGAAAGAAATAGAAAAAATATGCATAAGCGGCTGTCCCATATTGGAGTACTCCGATTCCCTAACCAAGAACCACTTTTCTTACCTCGAGCAATGTCTTTTGATGTGGGCCAGGTCCAACCTTGACTTTAACTACAACGTGTGTCTCATCATCGACATAATGGGACACACAGAACTGATCGGCGTCTGAGGCGGTTTGAGCTGGCATCTCAAACTTGATTGCCTGCACTGCTGGCAAGATCAAAGCGATCGCCATAAACACCAATGCGACCCCTGATGTTGTGATTGTGAAGCGTGTCATCCTGCTGCTTGCTTTCTTGATCGTGATGAGAGATTGCTAGACTAGAATGATGATAGAGAGCGAAAGCAAAAGATGATGTAGTGACGTATGGACCTGCATGTTTCACAGCCAAAAAAAAAAAAAAGAGCGTAAATCACGATCGCTTCCGCACGGGTCCCTTTATGGCTTCCAGATACAGAGTAGTGAAGTACTTGGGTACTTCGACCTTCTTTGATCATTCTTCTCTTTCAGGTAGAGCATGAACAGACATCACAACAGCGTGGGCGGAACACATCTCCTGAGACCTGAGAGACAAGATCGCGCCATGTTATCTTGTATCTGTTAAACAGACAAGGCTCGCAGTACTTGAAGTTACAGCCCTTCGTCGCCTTGTTTGGTGAGGAAAAAAAGTACGGTATGTAAGAAAAGTGCAAGAAAACAGATGCGACGATTGCCAGTCGGACTGGAATGACTTTCTTTCTCATTCCCAGCGCCTTTTAGTTTCGCCATTGATAATCCTTTCTTTTTATTGCAGACAAGTGCTGAAGATAGGTAGTCCGGTTGCTTCTGTGTCGACTAGATGGTCAGCCACAAGAAAAGTAAATGCGAAAATTGCTACTTGGCGGCGGAATGCCATTCTCTATCCTCGGTGCTTGTTAATGTCCCCATGACATGTATCTGATGTATGCGTATCTATTGGAGAGGCAACATGCTCAATATAAAGGAGTATGATGTGGCTAGACAGAGGGTGTTCGCTTCGAATGCACATTGCTCGGTGAGCAATGCATGAAAAGCAGATGCGAACCGGATGTCTGATGTACGTGTTCTTATTGGCTGCGCTAGATTTTTTACCACCAGTTAGCACTAATCATTCTTCACTCAAGAGTTGCTGTCTTAGCACGCTTCTGTCGATGTGGGATCTGCTCCACCATTCTCTCCAACAGCCACACAACGTGTCCAAAGATTTCTTTAACATCGTCTCTCCAGCAGTCCTTCTCGTAACGAATATAGCCTGGAAGTGTTGAGGTGCGGAATACTGGGTATGTCACATTTGAGTCTGTTGCTAGGCTCAGGGAGCATTGTACAAAATGCCACTCCTTGGCATTGGTCGTAATTCCATAGGATACCAGTGGCCTAGTGTTATCAATATCGCCGTCAAACTCTCTCTTTCGTCCTTTTGGTGCTGATTCGAGATGTGTTGGCAAGACTGACTCCAGCTGCATCATGTTTTGACCCATGACATTGTCAAATTGCCCATGCTTCACCTCAGCAACACTTAAGAAGTATGACGGGCCATCCCTTGACTCAATGGCATAGTCGACAAGCCCTTTGCCCCGTCGTCCAGCAAGCGGCCTTCTCGATGTTAATCTCAGTTTCTCCTCGAACAACCCAGTGGCTTGAACAAGGAATGGTGCGATATGTGGCGATAGACCATCCTCCCCATCGCGACATCTCACCCTTTTTCTTGAATCAAGTTCAGCATAGAGTTGTTCAAGAGCGAGGTCCTGCTTCTTGGTATTGAATGGCACGCTGCCAATATGATCGAGTCGTGGAAAATAGGAAGTACCAAACAGGTTCAGACGTCCATTCTCGTTATGTCGGAATATTCCCTTGATCGCGTCTCCAAGTCCACCACCAGATGTTGAATTCCCGAACGAAGGTTGATGCGCAAGATTGTCTGAAGTCCATTGTCGCTGGTCGGATACTCCACACTTGAGTTAGGAGAGCCCGCTGTCTTGGGGTGATGTATAGCGATGGTAGATTCCGAGGTCGTCTTCAATTCTGGATGTGTCTTGTAGATAGCCCCGAGTAGTGCTGATAACGTTGCAGTATTGGCGTCTACAGCCCAGATAAACCCTTTATGAGGCATCGTTCTGAGTACAACCCTCAGTAGGACGTCCCAGAAGAGATCCACAGCTATAATATAAACACTTTAAGTAAACCATCGCATCTGAGGCAAAAGCAAGATAGCCTGTGACATACCAAATCATAGTTTCGTTACCTAGCCGTGGCTCTTGGATAAGGATATGGATTGTTTTCTTTGGTACCTCGCCCTTGAAGACCTCGGACAGATCGGTTGTCGATCGGAGCTCTATTGCCTCGGAATTCAGACTGTCCACTGAAATGATATTATCCTTGGCTGGATCATTTGGAACCGACACGGCCCAGAGCCTGAGATCGACAGCGGAGTAGCTGTCAAACTTGGGTGACACCGTTGTCTTGATGACGTTCTTGAGGTGGTCGGCGCTGTCGCCCAAACAAATCTTCACAGAGAATGAGTCCGAGGCCACCCATCCATCGATGAGACAGATGATGGTGAGTTGGTTGGTGTGGGCTGATTGGGACATCGTGTCGAGGGGGTCAGAAGTGTACAGATAATTAGAATCCAAAGAACTGAGAGAGATAGAGAGGGAGAATGCGAGAGTAATATGATAGTGAGGGTGGAGTGAGGGAGATGAGGGGGATGAGACAAAGATAGGGGACGTAAGAGGGAGCGAGGAGAGGGAGGGGGAATCTTTTTTTGTCATGGAGCTATACGATCAGGGCGCTGCACGGTGTCTGGGGATTTAGGGTTAACCTAATCAAACCTAGAAATTTTTATTTTTTCAAGACGCGTCTAACCTACAGCGTGACAATAAAGAGTACCCAGAACGCAACGAAGGGACTTCAAGCAACGTTGCCTCCCTACCCGTCTTTTCTATACCCTCTCCCTCGTCTCCCTTGGGCGATGACAATGAGACCCTTCTTGCGCCTCCCTTCATCCTTCTCCCTTCCTCTAATAGCAATGCATCCGCTTCCACGACACCCACCCGCAACCCAGGCACTCACCATGGATCTTCCGGGAAAAGGCTTCCTCTCAAAAAGACTCCTCCGAAGGCTTCGCCGGTCAAGTACGGCTGGCTTCAGGGCCTACGCGCTCTAAGTAGGACCCCGTCCCCACAAAAAAAAAAGCACGCGCATTCAAAGTCAAGACACGCATCTCCACTTTCGAGGGTGTAGATGTTTACCCCTCCCCCAAGTCATTAAGGATGCTCAGGCTCATGTGCCGCCCAATCCCTTCATAGAAAAAAGCGACAACGGCTGGGAAGAGGCGCTGAGATCTTTGAGGCATGGCAACAAATCCGTGACCGCAGGCGAGCAGCAAATAGTGGCACACGTCTTCATCATGCTGACAAAACTCGCGCCTACCCTAGTTTAGGATTGGTTCAACTCCTTACCTGGCAAAAGTGCCAGTGAACGATTGCGAGCCTGGGCCGGTTTAGGATCCGTGTCTCTGAGGGCTCGACCGTTCAGGTGACAACCAGAACTGGGCGACCGACAAAGGAGTTGGATCCGGAATATGCATCTAAGCTCATTAAGGTCGTGGAACATATTAACAAGAAGGGTGACCCCAGCACAAGTGGTCGGATCTAGGTCATAATGAACACTGAAAAACACAGATAATCGATACGTACCATTCAGCGGGACCTAAAGCGCATTGGCATGTAATGGGGCAAGGGAGTCAGACAGCACATTCTGCATGATGCACTCCAGAATGTTACTCTCCGACTCCGATATCTTCAAAAACGCCTTTCCAACTTGCGCAAAGTTGATGGTAACGATGTCTCCATCCGCTCGGAAGTGTTTCTGGACGAGTCATATTGTCATCTCGACCACGCGGCGACGAACCGATGGGTGGAATCAAAAGGCGGTAAGGTGTGTGAGCCAGGACGGAAGCCGCTACTGGCTATTCTTGCAGCGTTTGTGGTGTACCTCGACGAGGGCAAGAAGGAGGTCAAGAGGCGTTTTGTTAAGAGCAGTGTGCACATCTGGCCAGCAATCGGCAAAACGCATGTCGCAGGAAAAAACAAAGGCGCCAAGTCTGAGGAGGAAGAAAAGCCCTGGCAGTCGTTACCAAGCGAGATCCGCGAGGCTGGAATTGTCTGCACCAGCAACGATTATCATGGGGACTTCGCTGCCGACTTGTTCGAGAAATTATTTGAACGACTGTGCATCAATCTCGACAGCATGGGACTCGGCCCCTGCAACATTCATCTTGATGGCGCATCCTATCATTCCCGCAGGGCAGACAAGAAGCCAAGCAGCAGTGACAAGAAAAGTTCGTTTGTCGAATGGCTCCAGGGAGGCAACCATCCCGTACCAGAGCCACTGCCAGGCGCGAAGGATGTGACCAAAAAGCAGCTTCAGGCAGAAGTCAAGAGACTGACGGATCGATCAATCGACATTGTCAAAGACATCGCCCACAGGCACGGAGGACATGCTATTTTTAGGACACCGCCATACCATTGCGAGCTCCAGCCAATAGAGGAAATATGGGCCGTAGTCAAGAACGTGATCGCCTACAAAATGAGCAGCAACATGACGCCGTTGAAGCTCAGGCGGATGCTGATCAGTCATTTTTACAAGATACACAGTACAACATTCGTGTCAGTTTGGGGAACAAATATCAATATTGGTCGGCAGCAACAGGCAGCGGGCGGCGATGGCATAAACATGTTACCAGCTACATATGGACCCTCAGCAACCATAGACGATCTAGTAGACTGGTTAGACGAGGGGGGGGGCGATGATCTCGATAGGTGGGATAAGGATCCTTTGGACCTGACTGAGGAGGACTACGCGCAAGCTCTTTCTGCTGTTCAAGCTCAAGAACCTCAGTGTGTGCTTAGCCTCGCACCGGTATCTTTGGACGACGACGAAGCTGACGAGAACGGGGAGGACTACGGCAGTGATGAGGAGGACGACAGCGACGATGAAGAAGGTAACAACGACCAACATTGTGATGTGGACGCGTCCAGCAAGCAGAGGCAAAGAAAGCGGCCACGAAAATAAATTTTGCACCAAAAATGAACTTATTCAATTCGATTCTTTCGCATCGACAAATTTTGGGATGGCGCTTTTTGACGCACAATAATATACGCGAATCATAATGTCTGCAGTAAAATTCCCTGTGCCTCATATGCTATACATAATCCTGGAACTCGTCCCTCGTTCTCCAGGGAGAGAGAGAGCTGCTGCATATTCAGCCGAGTCCAGTGTACTTTATTACTATGAAAATCCATCACCTCCGAAACTTAATTTCGAGTTGTGCTGAGATCCTCTTCAGCGATGTTACACACGATCTGCATCTTGGAGCTTTGTGTAACGCCTGCTTCCAAGACACCATAGCGAGAGACCTTACGAATGCAGGAAATAACTATTCAACATCCATCGTCATTTCTTCATCTCTTCATCCCCACCACATTGTCAAAGTCGCCGAGGACGCCGGGGAGTCCTTTTCGGCACAAGAAACGAACTCGTCGTCGAATTCCACTTGTCTTGAAGGCTGACTTTATCTTGGCGGTTGAGCAAGAGATAAAGCTCAACCCCAGCGTTCGACCTGCTCAAGTCAGTTACAGGACTCAGTTCGGCTTCTCCAGAAATCAGTCTCTTGAGTATTGGGACGATAGAGAGGATAACCTCTGGGAAGTCAACGGGATGACGCCTCGTAATGCTAAGAGAGCATATCGATCCAGAAGGGTGAATTCTGGGTGTACCTGGCCCTTGTATGGGATCCTGTAATACCCAAATGCATTAAAAATTGCTTTGCTCAAGTCTCCACCCATCCAACCTGAATGAGAAAGAAGTTGCGGTCAACCCCAGACGGTTCAGATGACGAACTGGATACTCTCAAGCAAGAGCTCAAGATTCTCTTTCCTAAGCGTGCGGCGGCCATTGACAGACAACAAGACATCCACGTCCTTTCTTATCTCAACTCTTGCTCAACCAAGGGGCCATTGAAAGCACGTCTAGACGCTCTTCATCACATCATATATGATTAGCAAGTTCTCCCATTCTTTTCAAGGGCAGGGACATTGTCCTTGCCAATGAGGATGACTATGACCAAGACTTGGACTCGGACTACGAACTCGATCCTAACCTTGACGCTGATTGTGACATCGACAACGGAGATGATATTGGCAACTCCAATGACAGCACTCCAGCCGCATATGAAAGTCCTAAGTCCCCATCCCCCAAGCTCGCAAGCCGTTTCGCCACCGGAGGCAGATTGTGGAGCAACCTGTCCCAACTGCAAGTCCTCCACGTGGCCTGGCACGCCTGGAGCAGTTTCAAACCATCCAAAGCGACGATTTCCTTGAGGCTATTGACCACATGACAACATGCACAACAGTCAAATAGGATCCTCAAAGGCTTCAAGCTGTCCAGAGTTTGCTTTCCCAAACTGCAGTGCTTTATGAAAAATGGGTGGAAACCAATGGGCTGATAAAGGAGCAGGTTGAGTAGGATGAAATTGTATTTTGGAATAGTTTGCGGCAACAGGTAGCCAATGAATCAGTTGTCCCCATCAGTGATCTGGCAATGCTTCTAGTGGAGAAAATGACAAGTCGCCCCAGTAAGGTCGCCATTCATGGAGGTGGGAACTGAGGTTCAGAAACGACGTCCTGAGAAAGACTTCATGAGTGCCAAGGACCAAGCAGACAGGTGCACGTGTGATTTTTTGCTCTTTTGGGCTCGGTCAACTCGCCTCTCATGTCCCGCTGATATCCTGTCATCAAAATGACCTTTGCTTCCTCAGGGGCCTCTCCATCGACCTTGTACATTTCTCACTTTCGCTTCTTTTCCGTCAAGGCCGATTCGGTTAGTGTATAAAGTGCATATCTTAGTATGATAGCAAAATGGAACGAGGATCTCGAGTTTTATTATATAAAAGCTAATGATGACTGATGATATGGATGTACTTGTATATATACTAGACATATTGATATTTCCTTGCCTTCTTCTTGAACCGATATGAGCGATCCGGGCCCTACTGACTGATACTCAGCACCTCGCTTGAACCTTTACAATCTATCCAGGGACTCTACATGGCGCTCCGAACAGATCTGTGCAAAGTTGTTGTTGTCAATGTCAATGTCAATGGAGATACGCGTCAAATCCTCAAGTTCTGGTTCGGGGTCAGAGCGTGCAACTTGTAATAGGATGACTTCAGCTAAGTAAGTCCATGAGAGAATCCAATTGCATGCAAAAAGAAAATCCCCCATGCTGAAGTTATTTTTTTGGACGCTTTATTCAAAGAGCATTTTTGTAAACGACATTCTTTGTGTAAACGCTAGGCATGTTTCCCACTCCCACGCCACCATCTTTTATGAGTACCATTAGAGCACTTTGGATCGGCGCATCTCGAGAGTGCAACGTCAATTGACATCACTGATTCACTGGCCTTACCGGGAACTGGAGCTGACGAAAGATAGCAAGGTGTAATCCGCGGGAAGAAGCAGTGGTGGTATGTAGAGGTTAAGTTAAAGACAGAGAAGTGTAGGCTAAAAAGACGTCTCTCCTCCAGCCACCACCAACGTCATATTTCCAAGGTAAACTGTGAAGACGTTGTGCCCTGTGAATAGATGTCTTCTGGCACTGAACCTGAAGATGACTGGTGCCCGACAGCATGTTCTTTTCCGATTCCCAGGCCATTGACCCAAGCACTGGATCAAAAGTTAAAGTTTCGAGAAAAATCAGAGAACCGAAATCTTGGTCTTCGCTCCACCAAAGACATCACATCACATTCGGATAGGCCGCATGTTCATGCTTCATCGATAAAAGCCGGTATCCCCGGCGGCCTTGTCCTCAAGGAGAAGTGAGGAGTTGCATTACATGCCTTACTGTAAATCACATGACGTAAACCACTATTTCTTTTATAGAAGTGCTGTGCTATTTCTCATTGGCTGTGCTATTTCTCATTGGCTGTGCTACCTGAGGAATCGTTTGATCTGCTCTCCTATTTCGCTATTTCTCAGCGCGTGAATCCCGCAGCGCATGCATCTGTTTTTTGCAGCGCAGTGTCCAGGGCTTGATGCCCTTCAAGGATGAGGCAGTGATAGGTCATACGATTTACGAAGTGGTATTTTCTTTATAGATAGTAAAGATAGATATAGATAAAAAGAGCATGGCATAGCGCCAAACGCAAGGTGTGCAGGTTGGAGAAAAGATAGTAACGGTGTGGAAAAGGAGGAAACTCATCAGTGGTAGATACTAATTAACCTCCGTGTTTGAAGGAGTGGCGTTATGCGCTATCTGGAAAATATCGTTCTGCAACCAAGCCCACACATTCTCCTCCCACGGCGTCTTTTTCAGCCAGAAATTGATCAGTTTCGTACACTGGCGGATAGCATCTGTGCATCCATCCATGTCATTAAATTGGCTAATATCAGCACAATTGACGTTCTCCATATCCCTGTCACCGAAGTCGAAGCGGTCGTGGTCGTGTGAGTCCTGGCCTTTGTATGAGTGGAAGTTCATGACATCGGCATATTGCTTGGGAATTCCGTTGTACTGGGTTCTGCGATGGCAGTGTCCGCGCGCATACGAGTCCTGAATGACGTGTAAGCAGCTGCCGAGAGCGCGGCGGTCGTGCATGACGTGTTTGTACGATGTGTTTGAGGTCAGGAGTGTGTGGATTGAGTCAGTGTCCTTGGGTGCCGTAGAGCCGTTGAAGAGGCGACGTAAGGGATATCGTTCTTGTTCGTCGCCGTGGCCCAAATCGACGTCTCGCAATCTGGTGTCTTTAGAGATTTGTCCAATAGCGACCTTGTACATGATCTCAAGCCAAGCCACGATTTTCCTTTGAGTGTCCTGCGGATTCTCTCCTTCCTTGTCTGCCATGCTGTGGAGGAATTGGAGGTCACCAAAATGTGACCTTGCGATGAGATTGGTGCTGCCAATGAAACCATCCTTTGTGCAATCAGCACCGGGGAGCTTGCCTTTTCCAAAGCGCATTAGCCAATCTGCGCCTGTACCACGGAAGAAGTTGTCGTTGTTGAATAGCCAGCCGTCACTAAACAGTTCATTCTCTGGATCGTCATTCCAGACAATGCCACGCAGAAATTCAAGGGTGTCTTTATGGTAATCCTTGATGGCCTTGTTGTAGGTCATGCTTGGGTCCAGCTTCAAGTCTGATGCAATGAGTGCTGCAAGTGTCATTGTTTCATGCACAGGCTGACGCTTGAAAGGTCCGAAACTCGCTCCGATAGACATTTCGCTGACGTCGTCGATGCACTCCCCGGGAGTTATGATAGGGTCATCATCTTCATTGATGGTGGCTGTGATCACTGTCTCGCCCTTCTCGTTCGTGGTAGTGGTGTATGTGGCTTCCATCGTCTGGGACTTCATTATTGATAGTGAGAAAGTAGGCTGTGGTGTTCAAGGAAACCAAGTATTCATGGATAGAGCAAAATAGCGAGTAAGATGTTAGATACTGGAATAGGATGTTCTTGAAGTTGCCTTCATCCAAGATCTTGCAGTACCTGAAAAGTCGTCTTGATGTTATTCCCTGGTAGTATTTGACAGGGATCGACTCTCTCTTGAACAAAAGTCTATGAGCAAACATGGGTTGTTATAAGGATATAAGTACTCGTCCTCTACTTCTTTAAATGACTGCGCCCTGTTTTAAAGACAGCAGCAGCATGAGACCAAGGATGGTCATGGCAGCCTGGCAACCTGGCAACCCGATAGCATACCTTGCGTGTTGGATACGATCGATGGCCCTTTCTATAGGGGATGCTGGCGATTTAATGTGGAAGAGGTAGAAAGTGACAAGAGACTGCAATGAATGAAGCCAGCAATGAGGAGGAGTGAGGATGGATGGGGGGAGAAAAGGAAGGGAGAAAGAAAAAGGTAAATATATACCCAATGGTCGAAAGGTTTCTTCCCACGTCGCTCTCGCCATGGCTCTCGGCCGGAAATAAAATGCCAACACAAACACACTGGCTGTCCTTCCTCTCCTCGGAACCATGTCCCTTCCCATCTGCTGCTGTCATCCTTCTTTGCTCTTCATCCTGTCGGTACACCTAGGCCCTATTTCAACCTCAGTGCATGACACCCTCATAGACATGGTACATGGAATACAAAGGGAATATTTAGCAGATCTACCCAGGGGAGATTTGTCCGAGGAGAAAGAAAAAAGTCCTTGTGACCGCAGCAGTGCATGGATTGCAAAGCAATAGACGCCCTTAGTTCTGTTTATTGAGATTTCTGATCGATGTTTATTGGCTGCAAGAAGTAAGTGGCTGATATACAGATTTATGAAATCTCGCGATCAATTTATGATCCATGTCATGGCACAAGCATGCGAGCCATGGTCGTAATGTCCTGTCCATAGGAACAAAAAGATAATGAATGTGGTGCTCACAGGGCCAGTACAAAAAAAGGCCACTTTGTGTGTCTTGTTCTTTGTCTCCTTCCACTTTATATTCGATTTCGACGGTTCAACCTAACAGCTCATCGACCCGGCACCCGTCGCGAGAGATGGTACAACAAGCGAAAAAAAACGCTCCTTTTTGCACTTTTCATAGTGAAATGCGCATTTTTTTCCACTGAATTGAAAATATAAGGGGTGTTATTCAGTTTTGTGATGGCGGTGACCCTACCTTATATCCTCACACTTTTTCCCTCTCTCACTTTTCCCCGAAAAGCAGCACGATTGGTGATCCGTAAATCCAAGCAGAAATAAAGATGGACTGAATAACACCTCCTTATATTTTCAATTCAGTGGAAAAAATGCGCATTTCACTACATGAAAAGTGCAAAAAGGAGTGTAGGTCAAGACGCGTCATGATAGGAGAGGATTAAAACTTGGAAGTAATCAGGGATAAACGTCAAAAGGCTGCATATTTCAATAAGAAAAACTCGTTGCTGATTGGTTATCCGCGGCGATAAACAGCTTCAGAAATTTTATAACCAACATCCAATCCAACCAATTACAGTCGACAAACATCTTCCATAAACAGAAACTTTAAGAGAACTGTGGGCGGCTAATGTGTCAAGGATCTAGAACAAAAAAAAAAGGTACAGCCCCCTATTCCGGCAAATTCATTGGCCTCGGAGGAATTTGGTTCAAACTTTTTCATTTTTTCAGAAAGTCGCAGGCCTCTGCATGCCTCTGCATGCACCGCCTTAAAATGAAAAAGTTTGAACCAAATTCCTCCGAGGCCAATGAATTTGCCGGAATAGGGGGCTGTACCTTTTTTTTTGTTCTAGATCCTTGACTCCTTAACACAATCCATGTACTGCTGCGGTCACAAGGACTTTTTTCTTTCTCCTCGGACAAATCTCCCCTGGGTAGATCTGCTAAATATTCCCTTTGTATTCCATGTACCATGTCTATGAGGGTGTCATGCACTGAGGTTGAAATAGGGCCTAGGTGTACCGACAGGATGAAGAGCAAAGAAGGATGACAGCAGCAGATGGGAAGGGACATGGTTCCGAGGAGAGGAAGGACAGCCAGTGTGTTTGTGTTGGCATTTTATTTCCGGCCGAGAGCCATGGCGAGAGCGACGTGGGAAGAAACCTTTCGACCATTGGGTATATATTTACCTTTTTCTTTCTCCCTTCCTTTTCTCCCCCCATCCATCCTCACTCCTCCTCATTGCTGGCTTCATTCATTGCAGTCTCTTGTCACTTTCTACCTCTTCCACATTAAATCGCCAGCATCCCCTATAGAAAGGGCCATCGATCGTATCCAACACGCAAGGTATGCTATCGGGTTGCCAGGTTGCCAGGCTGCCATGACCATCCTTGGTCTCATGCTGCTGCTGTCTTTAAAACAGGGCGCAGTCATTTAAAGAAGTAGAGGACGAGTACTTATATCCTTATAACAACCCATGTTTGCTCATAGACTTTTGTTCAAGAGAGAGTCGATCCCTGTCAAATACTACCAGGGAATAACATCAAGACGACTTTTCAGGTACTGCAAGATCTTGGATGAAGGCAACTTCAAGAACATCCTATTCCAGTATCTAACATCTTACTCGCTATTTTGCTCTATCCATGAATACTTGGTTTCCTTGAACACCACAGCCTACTTTCTCACTATCAATAATGAAGTCCCAGACGATGGAAGCCACATACACCACTACCACGAACGAGAAGGGCGAGACAGTGATCACAGCCACCATCAATGAAGATGATGACCCTATCATAACTCCCGGGGAGTGCATCGACGACGTCAGCGAAATGTCTATCGGAGCGAGTTTCGGACCTTTCAAGCGTCAGCCTGTGCATGAAACAATGACACTTGCAGCACTCATTGCATCAGACTTGAAGCTGGACCCAAGCATGACCTACAACAAGGCCATCAAGGATTACCATAAAGACACCCTTGAATTTCTGCGTGGCATTGTCTGGAATGACGATCCAGAGAATGAACTGTTTAGTGACGGCTGGCTATTCAACAACGACAACTTCTTCCGTGGTACAGGCGCAGATTGGCTAATGCGCTTTGGAAAAGGCAAGCTCCCCGGTGCTGATTGCACAAAGGATGGTTTCATTGGCAGCACCAATCTCATCGCAAGGTCACATTTTGGTGACCTCCAATTCCTCCACAGCATGGCAGACAAGGAAGGAGAGAATCCGCAGGACACTCAAAGGAAAATCGTGGCTTGGCTTGAGATCATGTACAAGGTCGCTATTGGACAAATCTCTAAAGACACCAGATTGCGAGACGTCGATTTGGGCCACGGCGACGAACAAGAACGATATCCCTTACGTCGCCTCTTCAACGGCTCTACGGCACCCAAGGACACTGACTCAATCCACACACTCCTGACCTCAAACACATCGTACAAACACGTCATGCACGACCGCCGCGCTCTCGGCAGCTGCTTACACGTCATTCAGGACTCGTATGCGCGCGGACACTGCCATCGCAGAACCCAGTACAACGGAATTCCCAAGCAATATGCCGATGTCATGAACTTCCACTCATACAAAGGCCAGGACTCACACGACCACGACCGCTTCGACTTCGGTGACAGGGATATGGAGAACGTCAATTGTGCTGATATTAGCCAATTTAATGACATGGATGGATGCACAGATGCTATCCGCCAGTGTACGAAACTGATCAATTTCTGGCTGAAAAAGACGCCGTGGGAGGAGAATGTGTGGGCTTGGTTGCAGAACGATATTTTCCAGATAGCGCATAACGCCACTCCTTCAAACACGGAGGTTAATTAGTATCTACCACTGATGAGTTTCCTCCTTTTCCACACCGTTACTATCTTTTCTCCAACCTGCACACCTTGCGTTTGGCGCTATGCCATGCTCTTTTTATCTATATCTATCTTTACTATCTATAAAGAAAATACCACTTCGTAAATCGTATGACCTATCACTGCCTCATCCTTGAAGGGCATCAAGCCCTGGACACTGCGCTGCAAAAAACAGATGCATGCGCTGCGGGATTCACGCGCTGAGAAATAGCGAAATAGGAGAGCAGATCAAACGATTCCTCAGGTAGCACAGCCAATGAGAAATAGCACAGCCAATGAGAAATAGCACAGCACTTCTATAAAAGAAATAGTGGTTTACGTCATGTGATTTACAGTAAGGCATGTAATGCAACTCCTCACTTCTCCTTGAGGACAAGGCCGCCGGGGATACCGGCTTTTATCGATGAAGCATGAACATGCGGCCTATCCGAATGTGATGTGATGTCTTTGGTGGAGCGAAGACCAAGATTTCGGTTCTCTGATTTTTCTCGAAACTTTAACTTTTGATCCAGTGCTTGGGTCAATGGCCTGGGAATCGGAAAAGAACATGCTGTCGGGCACCAGTCATCTTCAGGTTCAGTGCCAGAAGACATCTATTCACAGGGCACAACGTCTTCACAGTTTACCTTGGAAATATGACGTTGGTGGTGGCTGGAGGAGAGACGTCTTTTTAGCCTACACTTCTCTGTCTTTAACTTAACCTCTACATACCACCACTGCTTCTTCCCGCGGATTACACCTTGCTATCTTTCGTCAGCTCCAGTTCCCGGTAAGGCCAGTGAATCAGTGATGTCAATTGACGTTGCACTCTCGAGATGCGCCGATCCAAAGTGCTCTAATGGTACTCATAAAAGATGGTGGCGTGGGAGTGGGAAACATGCCTAGCGTTTACACAAAGAATGTCGTTTACAAAAATGCTCTTTGAATAAAGCGTCCAAAAAAATAACTTCAGCATGGGGGATTTTCTTTTTGCATGCAATTGGATTCTCTCATGGACTTACTTAGCTGAAGTCATCCTATTCCAAGTTGCACGCTCTGACCCCGAACCAGAACTTGAGGATTTGACGCGTATCTCCATTGACATTGACATTGACAACAACAACTTTGCACAGATCTGTTCGGAGCGCCATGTAGAGTCCCTGGATAGATTGTAAAGGTTCAAGCGAGGTGCTGAGTATCAGTCAGTAGGGCCCGGATCGCTCATATCGGTTCAAGAAGAAGGCAAGGAAATATCAATATGTCTAGTATATATACAAGTACATCCATATCATCAGTCATCATTAGCTTTTATATAATAAAACTCGAGATCCTCGTTCCATTTTGCTATCATACTAAGATATGCACTTTATACACTAACCGAATCGGCCTTGACGGAAAAGAAGCGAAAGTGAGAAATGTACAAGGTCGATGGAGAGGCCCCTGAGGAAGCAAAGGTCATTTTGATGACAGGATATCAGCGGGACATGAGAGGCGAGTTGACCGAGCCCAAAAGAGCAAAAAATCACACGTGCACCTGTCTGCTTGGTCCTTGGCACTCATGAAGTCTTTCTCAGGACGTCGTTTCTGAACCTCAGTTCCCACCTCCATGAATGGCGACCTTACTGGGGCGACTTGTCATTTTCTCCACTAGAAGCATTGCCAGATCACTGATGGGGACAACTGATTCATTGGCTACCTGTTGCCGCAAACTATTCCAAAATACAATTTCATCCTACTCAACCTGCTCCTTTATCAGCCCATTGGTTTCCACCCATTTTTCATAAAGCACTGCAGTTTGGGAAAGCAAACTCTGGACAGCTTGAAGCCTTTGAGGATCCTATTTGACTGTTGTGCATGTTGTCATGTGGTCAATAGCCTCAAGGAAATCGTCGCTTTGGATGGTTTGAAACTGCTCCAGGCGTGCCAGGCCACGTGGAGGACTTGCAGTTGGGACAGGTTGCTCCACAATCTGCCTCCGGTGGCGAAACGGCTTGCGAGCTTGGGGGATGGGGACTTAGGACTTTCATATGCGGCTGGAGTGCTGTCATTGGAGTTGCCAATATCATCTCCGTTGTCGATGTCACAATCAGCGTCAAGGTTAGGATCGAGTTCGTAGTCCGAGTCCAAGTCTTGGTCATAGTCATCCTCATTGGCAAGGACAATGTCCCTGCCCTTGAAAAGAATGGGAGAACTTGCTAATCATATATGATGTGATGAAGAGCGTCTAGACGTGCTTTCAATGGCCCCTTGGTTGAGCAAGAGTTGAGATAAGAAAGGACGTGGATGTCTTGTTGTCTGTCAATGGCCGCCGCACGCTTAGGAAAGAGAATCTTGAGCTCTTGCTTGAGAGTATCCAGTTCGTCATCTGAACCGTCTGGGGTTGACCGCAACTTCTTTCTCATTCAGGTTGGATGGGTGGAGACTTGAGCAAAGCAATTTTTAATGCATTTGGGTATTACAGGATCCCATACAAGGGCCAGGTACACCCAGAATTCACCCTTCTGGATCGATATGCTCTCTTAGCATTACGAGGCGTCATCCCGTTGACTTCCCAGAGGTTATCCTCTCTATCGTCCCAATACTCAAGAGACTGATTTCTGGAGAAGCCGAACTGAGTCCTGTAACTGACTTGAGCAGGTCGAACGCTGGGGTTGAGCTTTATCTCTTGCTCAACCGCCAAGATAAAGTCAGCCTTCAAGACAAGTGGAATTCGACGACGAGTTCGTTTCTTGTGCCGAAAAGGACTCCCCGGCGTCCTCGGCGACTTTGACAATGTGGTGGGGATGAAGAGATGAAGAAATGACGATGGATGTTGAATAGTTATTTCCTGCATTCGTAAGGTCTCTCGCTATGGTGTCTTGGAAGCAGGCGTTACACAAAGCTCCAAGATGCAGATCGTGTGTAACATCGCTGAAGAGGATCTCAGCACAACTCGAAATTAAGTTTCGGAGGTGATGGATTTTCATAGTAATAAAGTACACTGGACTCGGCTGAATATGCAGCGGATACTTTGGAAAACGTGAATTCAGTCTGCTTTCTTCATTACCAAGGTCCATCCCTTCAGTAGCTTGTCTGTAGAAAGATTTCTCACAAGGGACCTTGAACTTCAGGCGTGGTCTGCCTTGCTTGATCCAAAGAGTGCATGATTTAAAGTAGATCGGCGAGAAGTGATCTTGCATTGTCAAGAACTGCTCAAGTCACCAGTTCCAAACTCGGGATACAGATAGATCCTGGCGCGCTCTCTCTCACAGCCAATTTTAACCTGCGTGGAGTTTTTCTAGCTCCCGAGTGGCTTATTTTGGAGTCAGGAGCTGCGACAAAAAAAAGATCGCTTGTAAAAAGTTTTTTTTGCTGCACCTTGCCCAATACTAGCAATAGTGACCTCAAAATTCTTCAATAGCTTCTCCTGAAATCCAGCAACAGAAAAGTCTTAATAGGCAAAGGACTCCTGGAGGGATAAGAATACATCGTGTAAATGCGAAAAAAGTGGATTATGGAGCGCTTTGAAAAAACTTGCCAAAAAAAATCGTCCTTTTTTTTTAGGATTTTGCCCTGAGAAAAGGCATCAAGGCACAGCCACGCTCGCCTTGCACTGTTGACAACGGGCGGTTCACTCACTTCAATTGATCTCAGCATCCTTGCATCTTAAGCACACATTCGTCTCATTCATATTGAGTGCCGTGGTCGTGACTTTTGAAGCGAGGGAGGAATGTGTGTGTGTGTGGGGGGGGGGCTATTACTACGAATAAACCGAGGTGTCCGAGTTCATGCCTTGTTCGTCCATAATGTTTTCCTTCATCGGACTCTGTCCCTCAATGTTGAAGATGGTATAAAATGCTTGGTAGGGTGGTTTATAGCTTTCTGTTGGACCGAGTCCAATGCAAGATAAAGCATAGAGCCGCATGTCATGGCGCTACTTGCGGTTCAAGCTCCATTGTTCTGTCTCCATTCCACGTGTCACTTTTCGCGTCTGTAGCTCATCTCATTTGACGTAAACCTTCGGCCCCTGTATCGAGTTCCTGTTGTACACCGCGACCGACTTTCCTATGTCTTTCTCTCTCTCTTGCTGCAGTTCATGTCGGGGTCACTTTCGTTGCTGCTCTTTCTGCCGTCGCTGATCAATCGATTTCAGGCGGGAGCAGCGTCGCACCTCGTTTGTCCTTCCCCCCATGGGCAGGTGGCGGTCCTGCTCAATTGATATTGCATATATTTTTTAAAGTTCTTTGGATCGACTGAATGTCAGCCTCTGGACCTCGTCTTTAGTTACATTTCGTGCCCAAAACCAAAGAACTACTGTACCTTATTTCTGTTATAAGGGTGAGATTGTGAGGGAATAAAGTTCATATCTAATGGATCATTCTGGGTCATTTCACGCACATAGTAACCATGGTCTATGTAGTAGCAACCCCATTTCTCTTTCTGTGCCTGGAGTTTTAATCTGATAATGTCGTGTTGGAACTCCCAAAATGTCGAGCACGTGGTATTCCACGACTTGGATGGTGGATGCACGCGATGCTGCGGCGCCTACAGACAGCAGGTTGTTTACTACCCCAATAGATTCTTCGTCTGGAGACGGTAGTTCATAAATGAACCCAAGAACATCGTAGTACTCACATAGACCATACCCTCATATACTCACCAAGCATATCATACATGTGTCAAGTTTGTTTTTTTTTCTGACTGAAAATTTATTTGCCTAGGTTTCGGCTGGTATTAGAGTAAATGATCTCCCGGGTTCGTCCATGTTAAGGTGATGCCACGAACTGAGCCCAAGTCAAGCATGTGCACTTTAAGTTTGCTATGATAGAAAAGACGCGTGTACGCGTTCAACTGTTTGGCTAGAGCCGTACTAACGCATCAGCTGTTTGGAGACAGATAGACAACCCTGCATGGCTCCGGCACAAGCATGGCAAGAGCTCAGAGAAGTCCCAGCAACCCCAACCATGATAAGCAACGCGTATAAATAGAGTAGAACAGCTTTATTGGAATCCTCAGTCTGCAGTAAACTATCTTCTTAGTCTACTTCGTCTCTGTCATTATCCTCCGCCACTTACCCTTGTCTGACCCCTGCTCATTACAGGTGAGGTGATGGAGACCCATTCAAAAAAAAAAAGCTACAGTGGCTATATGCAGGTACACTAGACTTATAACAGCAGGGGCTCATTTCTCACATTTTTTAATATCAATGAAATAGTCGCGTGTCATACGAAATAGGGGCAGAACATGCTCCCTTATTGCACTATGATCAAGACTACTTGATGAATTATCCACGTTCTCAGACCCACTTTGAACTCGCTGTTACTTGCCCGCTTTCTCTTTGCCAGAACTATGCTCAACATGTTCACCCGCTGGTTCATTTTCTTCGTCGTGTTCGTCGTTTTTACCCAGATCATTCCCGACTCCGTCTACTGGCGCCACGTTCCAGGCTATGATCGTCTGCTGGTCCAGTTTCTCGTCGAAACCGTCATCCTTGCATGCTTTCAAAGAATCGAGTGGGGAGGGGCGGGCGGCGTTGGATATGGGTTTCGTGGGCGTATGGAACACCACTTTCTCCCACTCTAAATATGCCTCTACCTGCTTTGAATCCCCCCTTGACTGCATCTTCTCCTTGTGAGAACCGCTGACAGTATTCATGTCTGCTTTTTCTTGAGAACATCCTGAGCGTACAAGTGAAGATGCACCTGTGACCAGAAACCATTAGAAACTCTGGAGACATCATACCATGTCGCATAAAGTACAGCCCTCTCTCCTCTTACCACTAAGTTCCATAGCACATATACGCTCTCATCCAAGAAAAGATCCAGATCTGCTACGGACTCTGGGAGGACGATGGCAGGCCCGCATTTTCCAAACACATAAATATCCTCATACGACATCAGCCTCGAGACCAGTGCCGTTGATCCCATTGATGATATAAAATTTAAGCATCTTTCTCTTGGAGCTGTGTATCAAGTCTTAGCCTGCATCCATACCTTGTATGTTGAGCGTAGGTGGACTGCTCACTCCGAGGTGCTCCAGCTGCAGAAAGATGCTCTTGGCAATTTTGCTGTTTTTTCTGAGCTGAACGGCTGCTTCTATCCATGGGCATCCTTGCCGCTTTGCCTCGAAGTTTCCCACCTCCAGCCCATCTACTCTCAGCAGGCAGTCGCATTTTCGGGCTTCCTTTCCGACTTCAAACACCTCGGCCAGGGCAGACTTCGACACAGCGGTTGCAGTTGATCCAGTTTCTCCTCTATACAGTGCCACAGATCAAGTCAAGCACGTGGAGTTAAAAACAATACAACCAACAATAAACACAAAAACAAAACAAAAACAAAAACAAAAACAACAACAACAACAACAACAGCAACAACAACAACATACAGATGCAGGCGCAGCGGTGTACCAAGAGGTAGGCCTGCCTCGATGACATTGACCCAGTAATGGACGCTGTCAGCTTCGGAGGGTACAATACCGCCGACAATAGGCGTCAGGACGTGCTTGATGCTACACAATAATAGCATATTCGTTATTATTAAAAAAGAGAAAGAAAACGAAAAGAAAAAGAAAAAAGCGAGGGAGTACCACTTACATTACTTGCATCATTGCTATGAATCTCATGATTGCTGAGTCTGGCGACTCATCCCGCTGCAGGGCGTATGTCTGACGCAACATCTCCTATGCCGATCCAGCGGAATCCTCCTTCAGTGCCGTGACGATGCGGGAGAGCTGTTCTGGATATACTTGAAGCTGCGGCAACTCAAAAATGGCATGTGCTTCCGACGTAAATCCCATGCCAAAAAGACCATTCGCATGCCGTGAGTAGAGGTTCCATATTCCCGACATGGCGGTGCTGTATAAAGAATGAACATGAATAAGGAAGTTATCATAAATCTTATTCACGGCGGTTTGCGATGCACAAATATCAACTTACAATGCACCTTTGAACTGTATACACCTGAATTTGTCAAACCCATCTTTCTTCTTTAGCTCCTGGACTTGCTCCAAGTTCTCTAGAGCTATCCTGAAGAGCGTTCGACGTTTGCTGCTCCCGACCACATCCATCTCGAAATCTTCCTCCGTCAACAAGTTGACAGGCCAATCAGAGTGCTAAAGTAATATTAAAAACACAAAGAAGCTGAGTACACATGTGCATCCGTCTGACAAGGCTCAAGTGAAGACATACCATGAGAAGAGCGTGGCTCATCAGAGTGGACCAAGGTTCTCGGATTTTCATTTTGACTGTGGCGGCGATAGTTTTGGAGGGCCTCTTTTGAATGGGACCTTTAAGTGAAGTTCGAGTCGCCCTTTTTTGGAATTTGGCGAACCTACGGCGTACAAATATCGGTGATGAGTAAACTACAGAATGGTGACCTTCACATGCGCCCTCAAGGAAGGGTACATTTATGACATATATGAGACAAAATTAACTTGAATGCAAAAAGTAGGCGAAAACTCATTTACAAGATCAGTGGCACATGTTCACATACCAAGGTTATCAGTTGCGACTCCAGAGGTGATGCTCTCGATGGTTGTATTCTTGGCCTCTTCATTGTACGGCGTCGAACGTCCAAAGGAAGGCGAGGAGTACCCAGCATCTTGCTGCTCGACGATATTCTTCTGACGAGAGAGATAATAAAGATCTGTCGTTGTTTCCACAAGTATTATGAATCGGAACAAGGCAGAGACCATCTGAAGCTTCTAACGGATATCCAGCTTTCAGTGGGCAAGAAAAGTGTCATTAAGGAGAAAGATATGTGCGAGTCGATTGAATTGAATCTTGCAATGTCCCTCAAATCCTCCAAGAATTCGTCCAGTTGCACTATCGGGCGTTTGGCAAGAAAGTTTTCGGCGCTCCAGCTCGCAATTGGGACTGAGGTGAAGTAGTGGTGAACCTTCAGTTTCTCTGGGCATGTAAATTGTACAGTCTTGCCATCATAGGGAATCTGCTTGGTAGTGTCGCGAGGCATGGTGTTAATGTACTTGTTTGTGATAGGAATGCGAAGACCAAATTTGAGAAATGAAAATTAGATTGTGCTGACATCCGTGCCCCAAATGGAACCAGGATGGACACTCTATGCTCGGTCGGTCACGTAAAACATTTCCGTCAACAAAAGGTGACGCAATATAGAGATGACACTACATCTGAACAGGACCAGCAATTGTTCTCCTAACATAGACGCGGCCAGCGGCGAATGCATCCAGGTATAGTATAAGTCTCCAATGTCTGCGGCCAGTGGCGAGATATTGGAGCAATCGGTTCAGTTGTATGTCCCTTTTGTTCAATGGCTTCGTAGAGGTGTCATGGATTCTCGATTTGAGACAACTCAGGCTGCTGAATCCTATCTCTTCACTCGCTTGGCGGCCAGAAGCGTAGCGAGAAGATCCCAAGTCTGGCACCTCTGCAGAGACCCTTCAGCTTGCGCTACTAATACATCGAAACGCATCCGAGTTCGTGCTACCTGCCACCCCACCCGTTGAAGTATGGCAAAAAAGACTCTATGATAGAGGTACGTACATCAACTCATCCAATAGTTTCATCCTTTTTATCTTCTCTCCAGCTTTTATAAATGACTGGTTATTTTGGCTACAGGAACCCTATTCATCGACAGAAAAAATCCTCGTCAGCAGCAACGACATTTCTTCGCGAAATAAACACTGCGCCTATATTATATGTCACCAGAAGTCGTACAAGGCTAGACAGATCATGAACAAGCTTTATGGCGACAACTCCGGCAGATCGCTTTGCAAGTACGACGAAGATAATAAGGGCCGCTACACAAAACCCCCTTAGCAGCGAGCCTTTGAACCAGCACCCACCATTAAACGGTCTCTGTTTTCCACGCAGGTACTAGTCGCTTCATACTATGCCATATATCCCTGCGAACTTTTACTGCTATTCCTTCTGACTTTGATGTCTATTGATAGGCGAAAAATGGCCTCTGTTGCACCCTGGCTCTTATCAATTTCATCGCAAACCAGCACCCATCTCCTACATCCACATGTATCATCAGCAGCATCAAGGTGGATACATCTTCAGTACGTATTAATTGTGTTAATTCACTCTACCAATTCAAAACTCGCTGATATTCATTTTCCATTTATAATAACACCTTCTAAAAGGCTGTAGCGGAAAATAATCTGCTTCTGCAGAGCCTTCATCACTGCCTCCTGTGCAATCGTAAAGACAACAACGGTACGCAAGACGACAGCAATTGGACTCGCCATGACAACGGGATCAACTTTGGCGCAACTGGGAATCATATCGTGCTCATAATGCCCTTTGATCATTGCGCTTGGGAACTCGACTCCCTAGAACCAAAGGGACCTAAATGTTTGGGCCCAGAAGGTGACAATTGGACCGAAGTAGCTCAAAAAAGACTCGAAAGGTGGAGGTATGCGGCAACGGAAGCAAAAGTTCATAATGACGTGCATATAATCGAACGATCCTGCGAAGCCCACTGATCTCGCGATGGGAACAAGTATCTAAGGAGACAAGAGAGAATATGTCGACGTTTCATCTGGTTTATTATTGCCTAGGATTTCTGCCAAGTCCACTCACATCTCCCGGTTCGCGCCTGTGAGGTTTGACACTTGTAACGACCGGTGGATAGTTTACAGTGAAATCAGCAGTCGTGGGTATGAGCAAAGGAACCGTGATAACGCCAGGAGCTTCAGGAGGAGCGGCAGTAATGGCAGGAATGACAATCGCGGTAAAAAATAGAACAGCAGACAGGATCTACATTCCAGATCAGAGACTGTGTTCGTATGGAGCAAGAGTCGAGAGTTAGGGCAGCGAGACAGACGCAAGAAACTGGAGCTGGAGAGCAGATGCAGAATATAAACTGTCAGTTCATAGGAATAGATCACATCCACTTAATATTCAGGCTACATTTGCGACGTTATATTGCGGCGGCTAGATTTGGAGGGCTAACTGTGCGCTCAATTTCTGACATGAGCGCTAGACGATCACACATGGAGATTTCTATTGCGAGAGATAATTCATATAAAATAATGGCCATACGATCGACTGAACTAAAATTTATTAATGTAAAAATATAAGTGTTCTGGCACTTTTTGACGCGGACTCTATCAAGAGTGCATTGGAAAATGAAGGGTAATGCCATCATGAGATGAGTACACTAGGCAGTGTAAAATGTGGAGGCCAATCATCCACGCGCAGAATTAGTAATGCATGCGCATCAATATGCATGTAAAAAAAGAAAAAAGGTCGCGCACTCTCTCCTTCTCGTGCCACACAATGAATAGTACTACATATCATATCCTGACATCATTGAGTACAGCCATGCATCTTTATATATTCAAGAATGAAGAAAGATCAAGATCCTTGGGAAAGATTTCAGCAAAGTTGCTCACTCCGATATTGATCACAACTTGTCGCATGCCTTCGCCTTCAAATTTGAGATCTGGTCGTGCGGGCAACTCGGAAGTCCACTTGGCGGGGTATGCGATAATCATGCTGAAATATGTCCTCCGGGCAGAAATTACGATTTTTGAGATGTGGCTCCACACACCGCACCGATTAGGTATTTATTTGTATTAAATATAATCATGAGCTGGAGGTACACTTGTTAGACTAAATATACAGTGAACTCTGGTGAAATATGCGGCAATTTTTTCGGAAGAGACTGTGCTGAGGGCACTGTTCCGTTCCTCTTTCGAAAAGTCCTGATGAAGCTTCAGTTGCACGAACACGGGAAAAACTCGGCCATCGATCCTAATGAAAAAAACCATGTCTGGTCCGGAGGGTTTGGATTTTGGGTGCGACGGCCTTATTGTCCTGGATGGACTTATGGTTGACGTAGGCGTCCATAAACTCCTCCATCGACATATCAGAAATGCATTGCTCAAGTCCTGGTTCCTTCCAGTCGACAATTCCGACATTTCCAACGAGAGCAACACACATTTCGGAGATTGGCAGCTCACGCGGCCACTCGGATAGAGGACGCATCTTGAATGTTCCGCTGAAAACACTCATCATCATGTGTTCGAAAGTCCATTCGTAAACAATTTATTCGAGATTGCTGTGGAAAAAAACTGGAGGCAGGGAGGGCGCTTGACCCTGACGTGCCACTCGCAAACGCGTCGAAGGTGGCATCGGAAAGGTAATCATAGAGGATCAGGAGGAATAAGAACATGTATATTAGCGACGTTCAAAATAAGACTATCCTGGCATGCAGAGAAATGAAATCAAGAGCTGGTGGTAATCGATCAAGAGAGAGGCGCGACTATTTAAACTAAAAGAAGCACTATCGGACACCACGAGACACCACCGTCATTCTGCCTTGTCATCCGGCAAGAACAAGACGGCTATGGGGAAACCCCAAGAAGCGTGGGGCGGCTGATCCTATCACCTCCACCAATCGGCAACATGGACAACGGCCAACAGGCATACCTTGATCGGGCTGATGGAAAGGACATCGGCATCATAGGGTTCGTGAGGAACAGCACCGTTGTCCTCGAGGCAGCAGACTTCGACAAGCTGTGGCGGTCAATAGTGATGCCGTACCTTCTGAATCACAATTCAAAAAACAAAGTCGACAATGGAATGCGACTTCGCAAAGCTGTCAAGGAAAAGAGGCTGGAAAAATTTGAAAACGCGATCAAGTTTGTAAGTCTAACCTCTAACACTTTTTTTGCTGTCTCGCCCTTGTTTGGTTCATCTCATGCCTCATTCTTTTCTACGTTACCATCGTCTCTTAGCATGAACACACAGAAGTGCTATTGCCCGGCGTGTCAGAGCAAGCGAGAGCCACTTCCAACGTGTACACAGAGCAGTATGCAGCGTTTGTCGCTTCGGGTACATGTATGACAGTGCCGTTGTCCCCGTGAAAGCGTGTCTCCATCTGTATCGAGGAAGCAACGACCCTTTCTGATATCATTTTTATTGAACCCTTGATAACACCAAAATATCGTTATCAAACACATCTACATCATCCTCGAGGAAAAAAAGACGCTCCAAAGAGATTGTCAGCAGAGTCATCAGCAGCATAGCCACCGCCACGCTCCAGTTCTCAAGCACAGTCTGTATCGTCTTCCACATCAAACGAATTATCGCCGGAATTGCCCACGACTACGACATGTCTAGCGACCACGGCACCAGCAGCGAGTGATTCGACTTTCATTGAGGACGACGAACTAGCAAATCCTCTAGCCAATATAGGCAATTCACACCACACCGTGTGTGAGGTGCATACATCGCTACCTTGCACAAAATGATATCCAAAGATGCGCGTGATAACTCTAACCTTGATTCATTGGCTCATAATGGATGGTCAAAGACTTCTGCATAGCCTGCAGGTTTCAAGTGTATCAGAAGGCTTGCGTGCAAGCATTAACCGACAAGCAAATCACTAAGTCTGACATTGCGGACGCGATGTAGGTGCGGATCTATATTCTTCGTTGTCGGTCTTTTGTATTCTTTGGTCTCACTGCAGTCCTTGTCTCTACTAATGTAGGGCAATTATGGGTGTATTTGTTCCGTTTGTTCCAACATCACGAATGATCAAGTCTTTCGGACGTGGAGCCTTGTGCTACATATTCAGCTTCAGCCGAGTCCAGTGTACTTTATTACCATATAAATCCATCACCTCTGAAACTTAATTTAGAGTTGATTAATAGATAACGTGCAGATGTGTGTTTGTGGAGCCACATCTCTTTCTCACTTATCTCAAGAACCACAATACATTTCACCTTGGAACAACTGATCACACAGGTGATCTTTCTCGAGCCCACCATTGATGATGTAGCAGTGCTGAAAGCAGTGAGGGTATGTGAATTGTCCTGCATTTATGCAATGAGGCTCATCCACCGAACCAAACCTAACCTTTCTCGCATTTGTATATAGCTTCGGATCAATAACGACAAAGACGGAGCGTGCAAAGCCCTTCGTTCACTGGATAGAAAAACTCGGATCATGTTCGAGTCGCTGTAAGTCTTGTATAACCATTCGCTCATTTGACATTTGTTGTTGAAGAGGCCATCTTTTTAAATATTGTTTTCCTCACATAGTATGATTCAGGACCCGAGGGTCTATTCGTATTAAACTAAAAATCGGAAAAGGCGGTAATCGTCGCGTTTTAGCACGGATTCTGACTTAGAAGCGTTCAGCCATAATCCAACGGATGATAACCTCGGGCTATTGCCTGCTCAGGTAGGCCGAATTACCAATTACCCGAATGAACGGTTCCTCTCGTACTAAGCTCAATTACTATTGCAACAGCATTTCATCAATAGAATAAAACTAACCTGTCTCACGACGGTCTAAACCCAGCTCACGTTCCCTATTAGGGGGTGAACAATCCAACGCCTACTGAATTCTGCTTCAGTATGATAGGAAGAGCCGACATCGAAGGATCAAAAAGCAACGTCGCTATGAACGCTTGCCTGCCATAAGCCAGTTACAGACGAAGGAGAACACAGTGCAATTATTGACGGTGATGCTAACCAGCCCTGCCTCGCCTTGCAGGGTATTGAGGATGACCCAAATACATGGGATAAGACGTTCTGTGCAAGTAGAGGAAGTCTTCGTTTTTATAAACAAATCAACGCTACTGCCACAAGAATTGGCTCCGCCACGGGATCGGATTAAGGCACAAACCATAGACGCGAAAATCAAGTGTGGTTACCTTATTGTGAGTCCTAACGTATGAGCCCGCTTCTACCAGCATTGTTCTCTTAACACACAATCATGCACCAAGGGAATGAAGCAGCACCGAATGCTGCCAAGTCGCTCTAAATCGGTTATTTTATTTCACAAGTATTCCAAACCAACCAAAAAATCGGCACCCCAGGGCATCCCCCAACCCTTCACTCCTGCTTTCTTCCAGCACGTCCTAGGGATGCCCAGATCCGTCAGGAACAATTCGCCCGTTGTTGATCTGGACCGACATCCAGCCTTGGGTGCTCCTAAACAAAGCGTCCATTTGGGTCGCACACAAAACTTTGTCTTGTCCCCTTGGCCTGTCGTCCCGTTCACACCGCTGGGCATATCCAGGCTGAGCACCGGCGCCTTGTTGTCATTCGCCCAGTCCATCAGGTCGCATACCGTTTCACGCTCATCAGAGTCGACAATGTCCCGAACTGTTAACTGATAGCCGAGCATTCCATCCATAATCAGGTCGACAGGGGAGGATGCCTGTGGCAGCTCGGCGATTGTGTGGATCAACTCTCCACCAGCGGATAGGAACGACCTCGACTGAGATGCGACCAGCTGATAGAACAAAATAAAATGTCGGAAAGGTCAATACAAGCCTCCAGAGGTGAATATGAAGGGCGACTTTTTACGCATTGGTTGTGATACATCGACTTACCGGAAGGAGTTGCCCTCCGAGATTCGAGCCTGCAACGAATGCTAGCGCGACGCACCCATGATTCGAGAGATGCCGTGCAGCGCAGAGAGCATACGCCCCTGTGCGATTGTTTCCTGCGAGAATGACCACCAAAGGTGCAGAGTTGTGGTTGTTGGGTTGGATCCTTCTCGACCCTCCCAAAGCCTGCAGACACATCATGGCTGCACCTCGACCGCCATTTTCGATCATCTGTTCCTCGCTTAAGCCCATCTCCATGGCTGACAGCCTCTCGACCTCCTGCATCTGAAGCGACGTTACAGCTGGACAAGCAACCCCTGAAAGCGTCTGAATCCTGACAGTGCGTTTCTTGCCGCCGCCTCCGCCATTGCTGCTACACCCATCGCCGTTCCCTTTTGCGGATGAAGAAGGCAAACCTAGAGTTGTAGCACCAGTTGCACCTCCATTTGACCTGATCTTCAGCCCTGGTGTCGCTGCTGCGGCTCCCATGGCCTTTGTCATTGTAGAGGATTCGTCTACGCTGCTGCTGTTCCACGAGTCATCGTCATCGCTATCATCAACTTCATCCTCCTCGCTTTGGCCTGATCCATGAGCACTGCCCTTGCTGTTAACTCCCCTATAAGTAGGCGGCTTTGGTGCTGGATCAAGAACATTCTCAGTCGGCCTTAGTTTCCTCAGCATGAGGCTTTCCTCCATAGCCCGTGCTCTGTTCGGATTTCGATTCAAATTGACCAGCAAAGATTCAGGCGCTGTTTCGTCAGCTTCCTATAAAGTAGTGGCAGAAAAATGGAGATTCTTGATAAGTAACACTAAATCAGAATACGCACAAAAAAAAAAAGCAAAGAACCAACGCACCCGTATCTCTGCAAAGACTGCAGCTTTATCGAACAGTCCCAAGTTGTGCTGGAAGTCAAAGTCTTCGTCCTTGAAGTCATCTGTGTCGCCCTGCGCCCATTCATGCACTACTTCCTTGTATCTTCGTGAGGATCGTTTGCCTGGAATTGGAGAGCAACCATACCAATATTAGATGTGACAATGAACTAGTTGATGGTTGTCCTTCTCTGGAACAAATCGTTTACCTGTTACAGTTTTGTGTGTTGGTCCTGGAGAACCATAATCTGACAGGTTGTTATTGCTGTTGTAGTTGTTGCTGTTGGCGTGATTATTGTTATGCGTGGCCCTGCGCGCCCTTCTTGGTCCCCGACTCACAGATTCGGTGGCACTCGATTCTGCCACATTCAGATTGTCACGGCTCTGATGATGTGCCTTGCTGGTTTTCGTTGCGCCCATTTCCTGTACAAATAGTTGTCTTCGTTAGCTGATAAAAATCCAGCGATGATAACAATCCATTCCTTATCGAAAACTGAAAGAGAATTACCTTGGCTAATGCTTCTGGCCCATTTGGCGGCGGCTGTGGTTTTGTTGGAGAGGCGCTTGACTTGTACTAAAAAAGGCGTTGAGTTGAAAAAGGAGAGATGAAGTTGAGTGATCGGCACTATTATTTCGAGGACTAAACGATCGATAAAGGTCATGGCTGCTCCATACGGAAATAATGGCTGGATCATGGTAGGGTAAACTGCTGCTACCGGCAGCGACAATAGCTGGGTCATGAAATGACCTACTACCACTGCTGGTAACGCTAATGGAGGTCGCACTTGGCTGCAAATGGGCTGGCAATGGCATGGCTGATGGCCCCATCGTGCCTCCGTGCTTGGTAGTCGTTGTGGAGGGCATAATAGACGGGCGAGATGGTGAGGCTGATCCATAGGACAATGAATTAACTGGAGACTGATTAGGGAGCACTTGGAGGTCTTTAATGTCTCCTCCAGGTACACTGAACGAGGACATGACTTTAATCGTGTTATCGTGGACAAGCTGGACCATGACTGCGAGAACGATCCAGGCAGGCAAAGAACACGTTGAAAAGGTCAGTTCATGTTCCTTGTGCTAGTCAATGGTCCAATGTAGGCAAAACGACAATGACATACCGTCCTGTAGCATAAGTCGCTGTGTGATCGGATCGACGTCGGCGACATGGCCCTTTAAGGACGTGCCATTGGTCAAGAGTACTTTGACGCTGAGGCCAATGAATGCAGAAGCCATTGCTGTCCGATGTGGTATCGATAATCCTTGCTTCTGTTCGTCCTGACGTTAAAACGCGCTGATTGGTGTTGGTAAAAGCAGGTGGGATGGTTCAGGGGAGAATGCTCGCAAGTTCAAGAAACTACAGGCGAGAAGGGCTTCGAGCAGTGAGCGAGCGTAAGCCACTCATGCTGATCTGCCTCTTCTTCGCCTTCGCTTCTCCTCACCTTCGAACGATCAAATTTCTTTGGACATGGGTGGAAACAAACGCAAGGCAGGAAAGGGACAGGATGGCAATGGGAAAAAGTCCAAGACGGATGTCCACAAGATCGGGAAGTACCTCCCGGGTGGATTCCCTATCGATCCCAAGATGAAGGGCGTTATGGTCACTTGCGCCAGAGGCAAGGAAATTCAAGCGGGCAAAGAAGCCTGTGATCTGCTATCAGAGGTAAAGGGCTGGGCATCATGGAGTTTTATGTTGCCAATTCTCACGCAATAACTCACCAGAGACAAGGCTCCTATGACACTCGCTGACAACGTTAAAGAATCAACGTTAAGCAGGATAGTACAGGTGCTAGGCTAATCGAATGGAATCAATATCCTCTAATTCTTCTCAGTACGCAGAGAAACTTTACGGACCACAGTTTAACGACGATGCTGAGGAAGGCGATGCTGAGGAATCAATTGAGGATGCCATCGCTCGTGAAGTCGCTCAAGCAAAGAAGACGAAGGGAGGCAAGAATTTTTTACCATTGTCGACAGGCACAGACTGCGGTAGGGACCATGCTACATACTGCCTGTCATAACTGTAATTAACCTATGGTCAACTGGTGCACATACTCATGGACTATTCTTGATTGGTACACGTTAACAGTTATCTTCATTCGTGCCATGGGAATCCAACCATCCGTACTCTGTCACCATGTATTGGCTGATCTTCAAAAGTTGGGCAGCAAGCGGACGAGGTATGCTTTCATCTCTTTGAAAGATAACGTGCTGAAACGTTTCTTTATATGCTCTACGCACGAAGGTTTACTTAATATTGTGATTTGTAGGTACTGCCAGCGTTTTATCCCTGTGGAAGAGACAAGCTATGCTAATATGGACGATATTCGTGTGATGTCTGCACGCATCTTGGCTCCGTACTTCCATGCAGAAAACCAGGAATCCACAACGGTGAGCATCAAATATGGACCATATCATACATAGAGGTTCTAATGATCAAGGAGTTATCGCGACTGGTCTCTAATGATCGTATCTGATTCTGAACGCGCACAGTTCAAGGTGATCCCCAAGATCCGGCATAATGACAAGGTTGATCGCGAGATCTTAGTCCGAGAGTTGGCCAGCACAGTCGGCCAGGGTCAAAAGCATAGAGTGGATCTGACCAATCCTAAATATGTGATTCTCGCCGAGGTGATCAAGGTATGTCTATTGCTATTTTTTACTCCTTCTTGAACATTCGTCAGCATTATGAGAGGCGCTGCTCTTATAGTTGCTGCTTTGTCTTCGTTCTCTATGCTTTAGAGTATCTGCTTTATGAGTGTGGTTATGGATTACGACGCCCTCAAAAAGTACAACATCCAAACTATCTTTGAGTCAGCTCAAACTCAAGACAGTGAAGCGACCAAGAAGGAGCAGGTGGAGGCGAAGAAGGAGGAGAAGGAGGAGAAGGAGGAGGCGACCAAGGAAGAAACGGTGGGGACGGCTGTCACCGCAGGTGGTTCTGCGCAAGAAAACACAAGTATCGAATCGACTGTAGCCCCATCGACGACCGAAGATCAAGAGTTCTCCAGTGTTGGCATGTCAAAAGCCCAATAAGCATGCATATCATTATTCTCTGTTAAATAAGATCGCATTTTTCATCTCGTATCCTATATCATTCATTACGAATAATGTCAGAGAGTGGCAGTAACAAGGCTGTGTGTATGCGTTTCAATATCACACCGCGTATCCTTTGAAAACACAGCAGCAGCAGCGAATTTGAGTGGACTCAGAGAGCTGTGTGTCTGCATTCGCCTGGGGCATTTATGCACACAGGTACCGTACGAGATACCTCGTGGAGATGGTGAAGCTGATGTACTCAGGATGCTGCGCCGATTGGTGGCAATACCAGCTCTTTTGTCTGATGTCAACTAACCGTATTTCTTCTGTTTGCTCCCCATGAACTCATGTATCCCGGCTGACCAGCCGACCGACCAGCCGGTGGACTCATGTTGGCCCTTGCCGTCATCATTGGCATCAGTCTAGGTACAGGGCGGCCAAGGAAGGTTAACCAACCTAAAAAAAAAATGCGATGTGATGTGCATATGGGCGTGTGCGGCTCCCATTTTGATCCGGTCGGTTGGATGTTCGGCTCGCTTCTCGCTTCTGTTACACATGTACACATGGAATTGATGAGAGCTATTGACGATTGGTCTCGGCAGGCTACACAAGAGCTGTCTGGGCAGCCAGAGAAAAACATCGCCCGCGCGCAGTCCACATGTGGCATAGCTCGCCACTGCCCCATTGACGAATATAACATGCCAAAGCTATATTGTAGAGGACCAAAACGCACAGATCGGATCAAACGCATTCCTTTTGAAAGACATACGAAAATCAGTGGCGGTAAATTTAGTGTTCTTCCTCAGCCTTGACCTGGGATAACCTAACCGTTTCCTACCTCAGTGCAGGCGAAAGCATCTTGGGACTGGTTTGAGCAGGTACCAGTGCAGGCGAAGGCACCTTGGGACTGGTTCGAGCAGGTACCAGTGCCGGTGCAGTACATCACGATGATCTTTATGAGTAGACTATAATGCAAATTGATTCGGATATCGAGGTAAGGTTCATTTGGGGTAGGAAACATTACTGAGGACGGGCTCTTCCTGACTGCTCAACTCTCGTGCGGACGGGCGCAGGTAAATTATGGTGCACAGTGGAGGGAGAGAATGGAGCGCAATTATAGGTTATGTAGGCCGTGGAGAGTGGGTGGAGAAAGGAGCAGTGCAGGGGTTTTTTTATTCAGTCAAAATTCTCCTTCCATTGAGACACGCATTCAGCGCGACACATGTCAACCCAAAGAAAACCAAGGCGGGCATAAGGTACATGGGGGGTACATGCGCAAAACACTTAAAACGAGGCATCATTCCCTCATTCATTTTTCCCTCCACATCCACTCCCATCTCTCTTTATCTCTTTCGTTCTCGCTTTCTTTCGTAATTAGTCTGTGAATTTCTCTCTGTTTCGTCCACGGGCCTCTACAACAAACCATCTCCCCTCTCCACTCCACTCCACTCCACTCCACTCCACTCCATTCCACGTTATAACACCTTCATCTGTATCACCCCTTTGCATCCACCCACACATACCCACCGCCAGCTCCACCCACCTTAGATCCATTATATAACATACGCCATGGGTGTATTCGGAGAAAAACATACCTCACTTACTCGTGAACAGAAGCGTCAATTGATCCACCAGGCTGACACCCACAAGCTGCGACCTACTGAAGTCTGCGATTGGGTCCAGGCAACATGGGGACTTCGGATCGCCAGGGTCACTGTTTACTCGATTCTTCACAAGCAGCGCGCGTCCTTGATGGCTGGCCACAAGGACCTCTACCAAACCATGCAGAACACTCTCAGCGGATCACCAAATTCACAGGCAGCAGATTCTCAGTCTTCGCAACTCTTTACAAACGACGCTTGCCTTGATCGGAACAAGGACACTGGACGCGTCAACAAATACCGGGCCAGTCCAAACAAAAACAAGAACAAGAACAAGGACAATGGCGCCGCCCCCAAAGTCGACACTAACAAGCGCGGCCGAAGCAACAGTGTGATGAGTGATCGGTCATCCTCCCCAGGATCATTGAATGCATCCGCCGATGGTGCAGGTGAAGGTATGTTAAATCCAACGAATATACCTGCGAATTCCGCCTCCTTCGTCTCCACACACATACGACCCAGAGTACCAATCCATCGCGATGATGAGGATAATTGTGCAAATTGCCTCTGCAGTATTGGGGAGAGCATTTTTGCCCTCTCCACATCGGAATTGGATTCAACCTTCTCGTCAATGACAACTTTGTTGGTTTAAGATTCAGGACTGCAAAACTTTATTTTACTGAATACTCGCTTCAGCAAGCCGGTGGTCACCTGCCAGCCTCGGCTCGCTTCGGTTCCGCTTCGGTTCCTGCCAATTGCTCATCTAACATACTAACCGACTATTCTGTCTGTGCTACAAAGTAGGCGCGAGATGGGAGGGGCAGCTCAAGCGCGTGCGAGAACCCGCCTCGGTTGAGCTCGACCGAGCCATGGTTGAGTTTCTCAAGAGCCCTGCCAGTGTTGACAGTCAGGGTCGTCGCCTCAATGATGCCGAGCTGCAGTCGCACGCTCTTCGGCTAGCACAGTCCATCCCCAGCGCAAAGCGAATGCGTTGCTCCTTTGGCTGGCTGCGACACTTCAAGAGGAGACTTGGCGTCCAATGGGCTGCAGATAAACTCGGACGGTACCGCTGGATCGTCGAGATGGATCGCCAGCAGGAGCAGAGACAATCTATCTGCTCTAAGAGTGGGTCGCCTTCGCTCTCGGATTTAACATCGCTGCGTGAGACTGAGATCAAGCAGGAACAAGGCGCAAATGGACGTCATGGATCTGCAGCAGTATCAACCGAGGACGATGAAGAGGAGTATCACTCGACGTATGAATTTGGATCTGATGGTCGCGAGGCTACACCAGCCACACCTTCACCCAGGAAGCAATCCAAGACGAACAGCAATGTTACATCGAACCTGTTCAACGACAGTAGCATCCTCAGCATCCAGCCAGCACTCTCTCAACCCCAGCCTGCCGCCCAGCGGCAGCAGGTCCACCCATCGTCTCAAGGCATCATCAGCCCATATCCTAACCTGTTCGGCTCTCTCCCTCCGCTCCATATACCCGGCAACACTGCTTCAATGGGAACGATTTCGCCTCTTGCAACCACTTTGGATTCCAAGTTGACGTCGTCTGCCTTTGTGGCACCGACCGCACCGACTTCAAGTTCAGCCTTTGGAATGAGTGTCGATGGCAAGATGCGCAAGGTCCCTACAAAGGAGGAGGCGTACGAGATGCTCCAGAGTTTGCTTATGTATTACGAGCAGGACCACTCCTACATTGGCGAGCAACAGACCTTGCTCCTTCCTCGATGGATCCATCAGCAGCGTCAGATCATGCAGCAGACCCAGGAAACAGAGGCCAAGATGATGTGGATGCGCCAACAACAACAGCTGTCCATGTATCAGTCCTTTCACCAGCAGCTTTTGTTCCCTTTCCAGTCCATGGATTCCCAGTCAATGGCAACTGATGCTCATAACTCTTACCACCGCTACAGCCCTTCCTTCTCCTCGACGGCTTCTAATGCATCATCGACTCTATCCCCTTCAATGTCGCCCATGTCTCCAGTGCCTCCTCTGACTCCACAGAGCCCGGTCATGAATCCCTTTAGTCTGGGATTTGGTGCGGGAGTGGTAACAGGACTAAACGATCCATTCATGTCTGCAAAAACGGATTCGGCCTTCTCATCGACCCTGACCGGCCTTGAGCAGCAGATGCTGAGCGATACGTCGCTCTTGTACTCGTCGACACTCTCGCGATAGAATTGAACTTGAACACACTGATGTATTCCTTGTATCATATTGTAAAATAATCGAAAGAATAAACAGATCTTTCCACCATAATCTACGTTTATTTTTATTTTTTTTATCATGAACATTGCTTCTTTTTTTTTCAATATGAATTGGACTTAAAAGCTTTATTAGTAATGGTACGTTGGTTCAAGGGGAAATAAGTGGTCAGGAAATGAAGCTTTTACCTGGCAGAGCTCTTGGGGTTCTCGGGCGATTTGGCCCATGTTATGGCGGCCCGCCTGAATCCCCCCTTGTGCTCGAGCTCTGGTATCTCGGCTTTGATACGAGCAGGCTCAGCTTTCATAAAATTGTTGTACTGTAGGCATCTAACTTCAAGAAGTGTCTGGGCTTCTTGGTGGCGTCTCCGCTGGGGTTCTTGATGACACCTCAGTTGGCCATGGCTGTTGGTATGTATCTGAGTATGCTTTTTTTGGTCGCAGGTTTGATGGAGGTGGTTTCGGCAGTGATCCGGTTTGGCTAGTGAGGGAGTGATGAGTTGGGATGAAGAAAGAGAAGAGAAGAGAGAGAAGAAAGAGAAGAAAGAGAAGAAAGAGGAAAGAGATGAAGGAGGGGGGGGGAAGATCATGAACATCGCAAATCGCCTCTTTTTTTTTACGAGGAGGTACACACTTTATTTGGAAGAACTGTAGTTATCCCTGGAGAGGCAGATCAGTCGGGGCCTAGGTATGTGCGGCTGGAGAATCGTTGACCATGGCTGCTCTCCGCTAAGGAGCATCGGTGGAACGGTTGTTCGGGTCCACACGGCTAGTCATTGAAGGGATCGCGTGTGCACCGACGAGATTTGCCTCGGCCGCATAGGCGTTGTCGTGAGCGCTGCTTGGACCGCCATACTGGTGGTGCATTTGTTCAGCACCGGTGTGGTGTTGGTCATGACCGTGTGGCGGTGGTGATAGTGGTGGTGCAGCGTGCCCGAGATCTTGTCCTTGATCTTTTCTGCAAAGCTGTGTTTGCGATCGGCGGCTGTGGCTGTGGGGGCATGCAGTGCAAATCTTTATAATAACTCGTTGTGATTCAACCAGGAATTAGATTTTCGGAGGTTCATATTACAAATGGAGTGTGGTTAAGAAAGGGTGAGAGGTCTATTCGTAAGAGTTCCAGCATGGTGATGAGGGAAACATCAGGAGGCTTTCACCCATATCCAAGAGGAGAGGAAACAAATGAGGATGCGCTGCGGGTGGCGGAATCGGTAAAGGTCAACGTATTGCGAACGGGCAGACTTAATCGTCGCGTTTGGATGATTCAGCAGGAGTAGACGTGTCCACGCGCTCAGACATGTTGGAGAGCGTTCACTTATGTTCTGGGAATAGAGTCTGCAGTCTAGGGTCTAGGGATTGAGGAAGATGATGCGCCAGCAGCATGTCCCGGCCGTTTACATGCAAATTGTGCGGGGGAATAAATTTGGCCAAATATTTCTTTTGAATTGATTTCTTATTCTGGGGAACAAAAAAATGGTGGAATATGTGGCTTGGTGAGTTTTTGAATTGAATTTCTATTCTAAAACTATTGGTGCTGGCACTTATTGGCGGGGACTCCTACTCTTACTACATCCGCTGTAATATCAGAGGGCGAGAACAATACGATGGAGGCTTCTGCCTATTCAATCTCGCTTCTCCGTGCAATTGGCATTCAAGGAAAAGATCGCGTTGTGCTTGAATGGTCTTTATTCGCTATAGTACAATGCTCGATAATGTTTACAATGATAACGCAAGCGTTCTCTCTTTCAATGGGAAAGAATGGGGTCCTGTTTTTACTCTGGAGGCTGGATCCCGCCAAGCCCCTCCAGCATGATGTGCGCACTCTTGGAGTACGCGTTCCAGATTTCTGCAATAAGCACCGTTCGCTGGTTTTGGTCGTTCACTTGGGCCAGTTTTTCGTTGAGTTGTTCGAGGGAATCATTCAGTTTTTCCTGATGAGAACATCAATAAACAGTATGATTAGAGAGCGATAAAAACAGGCCAAGTGGATGCAGATTTGGTTAATGCTAATCGTCGAGAAAAAGAAGGAAGAGACACTCACGACATTGAGGGCGATTCGGTTGAGGAGAGCAGCTTGCTGTTCTTGGTGTGGATTCATGGCGGGCTGCGTGTGTTTGTGATGAAGTCTGCTGTAGCGCAGCAGTCCTTGCAAATTTGCAATGTGCTCGACCAACCTAACCAAACAGCCACAGTACAGAGCAGCTCCATGAACATTGCAAATTCATTATTATCCCTTCCTCCGATTTTGGGCATTGTTAACGATCCAGTTGTCTAGAATAAAATAGCAATAGCTTGCACACTTGAATAAATGAATGCCATCATTATTATTGCTATTCTCCAGGGTACAAGGTAGCATACCAACTGTCTGGAATAAAAAAAAAACGTACCTCGCGTCGTTGCTTTTTTGAAGCGTGCTTGTTTGCTCATGGATGATATATCTCCAGTTGAGGATGACGAGAGCTCTGATGGCGATAAACAGGAAGGCAAGGTGTCATTTATGAAGGGACACATCCAAACTTGGTGGAGTTTGTTTCTCCGTGTGTTGTCAGAGCTGCGTCCTGTTTTCTGTCGAGTGTCGAAGCTAGGCGACTTTCATCTTGTGCTCTGAGGCTGCCATTCTTTCACCTCTATGGGGCAATTCAAATTCAAAGACGCACCCTACGCGGAATATCAAGTTTGATCCTCGGAGATGGCCCACGAACTTGCATCGGAGAAGTATGGGGAGTTTTTCCGACTACTGTCTATCGGAGACAGGGTCGAGATTAAGGCGGATCCCCTCAGGAACCAGATTACATATGGCATGGAAATAATGACCATGAACCGATTGTTGGAGGACAACTCAAACACGTACGGCCAAGCTCCACTCGATGGATACATGAAGAGGGCCTTTGCAAATCACAAGGCTAGGAAGCAAGCAGCTGCCGAAGGCACGGAGCCTCCCTACCGCCTGACTTCCCAAGTGGTGACAGCCTCAAAGAGCACTGCACCATCAGTAACATGATGAGAGCAGACAGGGTCCAGCTCCACCTAATGGCATTTGACATACGACGACGTTGGCAGTCATCCAAAACTAAGACGCGGATCCCGGAGATTACGTCGCGATTTTCTAGCAAAGGATCTCTTGCAAAGGCCTTCGATCAAGACCTCCGGGGCGTTGTGGTTGTTGGGGTGGATTCCGGCGAAGCAATTCCGGCATGGTTTTATGCGCTGGGCTCCGGAATCAAGAACCTGCCTATCAAACGCCCCGCCCTCTACAGCCCTAGCTTGTCATTCAGAGTCGCGCTGGAGGCCAAAAAGCGCGAACGGGTCCGTGTCATGATCGAAGACGGACAAGGAGGGATGGTATACATGCGAGACACTTAGCATATCGGAATTGAAGGCCTCCCTACCGTCGTCGCCGTTCATAAGTATAGAAGAACACCAGCACGGCCGCCGACAGTTCAACTATGTCCTACAATCACTTCTCGATTTTTACGGATCCCACTCGAAGGAAAAAAAAAAAAAAAAAAAAAAAAAAAAAAAGCTGTGGGAGCTCAAAAAGACGAACCGGGTTGAGAAGGATTATGCTGTGCATGGGGGACTGCGAACCGTTGACCCACAAGGAGGGATGCATACTGGGCCAACGAGACTGGCGATGTTTGTATATGGGTCAGGAAAGTTCAACACCCATACCAGGCTGGCATCGCTACACGAGAGCTTCAAGAGGTATTTTTTCCACAAGATATGTTGTTATAAACATATTCATTGCGGTTTGCTTGTTTTCACTCCAGTATCAATACTGATGCCATGTCTCCGCATGCCACTGCACCACATAGGCAAACACCCTCGGGTACACCGTCGTTTGTTCGGATGAGTATCTCACATCATTGAAGTGCTCAAGCTGTGTACGACAAAACAAGGATCGAAGAATGGCAAAGCCAGCGAATTAGAGGCTCTTGTGTCTCGAGGATGGGTACCAGAGACAGCAAGGCAGGGACTGCGTGGGCGCCCAGAATTTGGTTAATATTGGTCTCGAGTGGATCAGTAGCCTGTCTCGCTCAGAGCGCCTCCACCGGCTGCAACAAGGATAACTGTACTGGCCGTATAAGTTAAAATTTACCCTAGATGGTTGTCTCTCTTTCCAGACGGGACGGTCTAAGGGATAGCGGAAAATTTTCCTATATGATGGAGGAAGTGGTTACTCTAGGCTTGTCTGGCCAAGGTATGGAAGAAGGTCAATCCCGCCTGTATCCGTAACTGCATCGCCCATGTCCCAGCCATGCCTCCAGAGCGCAAGAAACGTCTACATAACCTTGGTGTCATTACGCTTTTTTTTTTTTTTTACACGACAATCTCTCGGACTTTATTTATGATCGTACGAGGGAACTATTTCTTGGTGGTCAGAATGCGTCCTGTTTGTCCCTGAGTGGTGGTAGAGATCGGCCCGTTTGGTGTGGTTTGATTTAACCCGGTCCATATAATCCCGCGTATCCTCACAAGTCTTTTTCATGGTCTTCCTGTACTTCTCCTGTGGTGGGCGCACTCTGAATGGCTTGATTCGGTATATTCGACTGTGGTCTCGATCCGGCATATATGTCTTGTCCTACGATTCGCTCGATGCGGTCTCCAAGTGTTTTTGTTCGATTTTACCTTGGTGTCATTACGCTTGATGGAGTAACACGCCTTCAACAGGAGCTCGAACAAGAATACGCGAGCATCATGGACATCATCTCCAAGCAAAAGGACTTTTACGTCCTCAACAATTTCAGTATGTGCGACAGCGATGGACCTTCAGAGTCGACCCATGAAGCTGCAATAAGTATCATAAGCAGCGAAGAGTTCAAGCACGTTTTCAAGCAGCACCAGGATAGCGATGATCTGGATAATGATTATGTGGCTTCACCGAAGCGGAAGGTGAACAGAGTCCTTTTTACTTTCTGCTTTCGTAACATTACATAAGTTGAGAAAGAGACCGTCCGACATGTCTGCTAGCTGGAGGACCATCGATGAAGCAACATCCATGTTCCGTAAATGCCACAACCCCGTATCTATCGAATCTATGCGCGTGATTTTTCACCTGGCTTCCGACGCGGAAACCGCTCTGGACCGAATACAATTACTGGCGCATAA